TATTTGTTCTCCTCCTCCCTTTCTTCCTTCTTTTGTCAGCCTTTGTGAGTGTGAGTGTATCCGTCGTCATGCGCTTGCCCTCGTTCGCTCTCTTTCGCGCACATGCAGCGCCGTGTGCTCCCTTTAGCGTTTGCTTTTTTATGTCATATTCCTTCAATCGACATTTCATTTTCAGTCGTTTTTAATAATGCACATTACTCGCGAAATAAAAGCGAATTAAATACAGTTCTTCAGTTACTTTTTCATTTCCGCTTTTCTTTGTGGAATGTGCAGCAAAGTAGTGTGTATAACTGTATATAACAGCCGTTGCACAAGTGTATGCGTATATGGTGTATGTACATAACGCGTTGTGTAAAAGTCTAATTTACTGGACCTAAAGTTTCCCTCCTGACAACCAGTTTTCAAATGCTGCTCTGCTGACCTTGCCTCTAAAAACTCAAGTAGTTCCCAAGTGGCTGAAAAAACCTTCGGAGTTTAATTGTTGCATGTCCAGTGCCACCACAACACACAACCCACCCACCCACTCACTAGGGTTGTCAGGTGTAGTTGGTATTGCGTTCTTGCGTTCGCTTATTCAACTACGTAATTTGCCTGTTTTCTCGTTAAATATCTACTTTTCAAAAAATTTACAAATCGCTAATTTAATCCCAATCCAAACCAGAATCCGGGCTTTAAGATATAACCAAAAACAAAAATGAAAATTAAACAATTTGCGATTTCTCTAGCTTAAAATGGTTTTATGTAGACCTTCCACTATTCTAACCTTGTGTAACTAACAATTAGGCAGAGGAAATTAATCATATTTAAGGTTTTAAAATTAGTTTGTAATCTTAAACAAGAGCATATTTCTGCTCAACTTTCCTTGGTGTAGTTTTGACCCAAGTTTTTCGCAGTGCTCACCTAAAACCGTGCGTAGGCAGGTTTCGTAACACGTTGAAAAGATAACAAAAATAAAATGTCGACCTATGCGGGAAAGGAAAATGGGAAATATAGAAAACTTGCTAAAGGGCAGCACTGTTGGGACCAGCTTAAATATGCGCTCGACTGCTTCCTAACAACGATATTCAAATAAGTTACAAACAATACCAACAACGTAGCACGCACAATGCATAACGAACAGGGGAAATCGAGAAGGGGTGGAATGAGGGAGGTAGGGCATAGCTCACACTGCCACATGTACACACAAATTGTTATCAATTATGTTTGGTCCAGGGTTGTCATACTTTCGTGTCGCTTACGGGTTTATGGTGGTTGCAGTCAGCTGAAATAATTTAATTGTACTACAGTCGAGCTTATCTTTTGCTCCCCACCATTCTTTAACTTACTGGCACTAAACTTGAAATTCGAAAAAAAAATTGCTGATTGCAATTGCTTATTCAAGAAATTGCACTTTTTGTATCGATTTTAAATTGCGACCAACTACAACTCTCACGAAACAAAGAATAAAAATTGGCAATAAAATAGTTCGGACACACATAGTTTTGTTTAGTCATTTTTATCGACAATTTTTTTTTTCAAACATTTTTTATTTTGAAAGTACGATTGTCACGACTTTCTCACATCGTCAAAAGGTTTTTTTATATGGTTTATACAAAATGTTGATCTTTCTTTTCCGATTTCCATCAACCTGATATGGGTGTGTTTAATAGAACTATTGCTTGCCGAAAATAGAGAAGTTGAACAAATGTAGACTGCATTAAATGCTTTTGTATCTGTTTCAGCCTAAGACCCTTCACGTTTCACATTTTCAACCGCTGATAAAAGGCAACAACAACCAAACGCAACAACCACAAAGGCTATCGCCATATGTTGGAGTTGCCACACGCAAAGCAAAATGCTTGGCACTCACACACATCCATAAACACAGTACACTCACACTGGCACACTGCCATTTGTGGCCTCGCTTATAATTTTTTTTGTCTGTGCTTTTCGGTGTGAAAAACTTGTGGGGCGGAGATACGAGTGGAGACTATTAGATGTAGATAGATTATATTGCCCGGGTTGGGTGTTTGGAACGAACGAACTAATATGGTGTCGGCACTTGCCGATTCGGTTAAATGTTCTCTAAATTGTAGAAACCAGGGAAATATTTTCGGTAAACGATTTCACACGAAGTTATGTGAATGTTTAAAAAGTGAAATCAAAATAGGTACAGAGCAATTATTTAATAAACAGAAAGGAGATAAGAGACATGTCTAGAGTTTATCTTTAAACAAACCAGGTAAACAAAGTGAAAATATTATGGAATTATTATACAAGCATCAATACCGTTAAAGTTATAATATATACACAAGTCTTATTTTAAAAGCAAAAAAGTCTATAATGTTCACTTTTTAAACTTATCATTATGACTTATCATTTCTTTAGTGTCTATTAATGTATTACGTCATCGTATATTTATTAAGTATAAATAAAATATTTAAAGCTAAACAATTTAAAACAAGCATCTCGGCAATGTACCTCTTAAAATAAAATCACATCGTGACAGATTGCCATCTCTAACAAGCAAGAAGCAATGAAAATTTTGTCTCCAACAATTGAAAAGTCAAATTCATCTAATTTTCCACCAAACCAAAACCGCTGACGTCGTCTTTTTGTTTGGGTTGCTGGTTTCATTTCGATGGCCTTGAACTGAATTTGTTGTATTCGTTTTTTGTTGGTGCTTTGGTAAGCTCAGCAACTTTGGCAAATGTTTGACGATTCGTTTTTGTGATTCGTTATTTTTTCTTGTTTGCCTGTCAGTTTTGAGAGGAACTGTCAATGAAGCAAGTCAAAAAAAAAGAAACCAAATCGTAAAAGGGCAGACGTGTTTGAAACTACGCATTTTTTTTTGGTTTATAAGCGATTTATGTAGACGGGGTGTTGGAGTACATAATGTGTACGAAAAGGGCGCAGAACAAAGCAGAACACGCTCAAATCTCATCTTTTTCGACGAGTGGAAGCAAAGGCAAAAAGGCTGTGCTTTGCTCGATTTTCTTTCATTTCATCTTCTTGGAAACAAGCATGGCAACTCTCGCACACACGCTCGCAGAACTTGTTTCTCACTCGCGTACACATTGGAAGGGGCAGATAGCCAACCCACACATCCACGGACGCGCTGGGCATTACGAAAGGCAAAACATAAACAAAACGACCGAGAACAGCTGATTAGCACAGCTGTGAGCGAGTGTAAGTGAGCCAGTTCACATCTCACTCAAAACATTCGCTCTTGTTTTACTCTCTCTCTCTGTCTGTCTTTGATTTTCTCCCTCGCTCGCATGCACGTGTCGGTGGCTGCTGCTGACAAACAGCTGTTAACTTATTTACAATTTTCATATGTTGACAAAATGCTCAAGTGTGTGTGAGTGGAATTAAATATGTGTGTTTTCCGAGTGGTGGAGTGTGTATTTTCATAGGTGGTGTATATTTTCCGTTGTTATCAGCTATTCGTTTTTAGTTTTCCTTGCTCTTCTGTGCTGCCAACATGGCTTTTTCTCGATGAAGTTTAATGTTTACAAAAAGTTAGTTTCAGTAAGCCAATATGCCTTTTCCAAATGTTCAACTTTTTATTATGTCTAAAATGTTTAATATGATTTGTCTTTATTTAATGTAGGTGAAAATACTAGTGTTTTATTCGTTTGTGGTGAATTAGTGCAAACGAGTGTTGTTTTTGAATATAAATATCTAAATTTAAAGGTTTATATTAATAGAAATTTAATTCAGCTGTCGCTTAATGGAGTGTAACATCTGTAAACCACTATGTTTTTAATAAATTTAAAAGCACGAAACTACTGTGAAAGTGAAAAGTTAAACCGCCCTTGAGTTCTTGAATATTGTTCACAGAATTAAAATATGTTTTTGTATTAAAGCTTCAAATAAACACTCTTGAGTTCTTTCGTCTTAAATTTTGTAAACGATATTGATTTAAGTTAATACTTCCATTTCATTGCTTATTTTTATACTGATCAGGCTAACTTAAATGTTTTATTGGTTTATAATTATATAATTAACTGTGTTTTAAATTCAATTATTTAGTTTGTTTTTTTTTGTCAATCAATAGTTGGCAACACTCATGTGGTGTGGCATTTTCCATTGTATGCTAGTACCTGTCCTTAAAAACGGGGCTGAAAATCTGCCTTTGTGCGTTTGGCTTCTGCCAGTGTCCCTTCTCTCTTTTGCCTCTCTCTATCTTCCTACCCCTGATTTGAGTTGAGCCGGTTTTTCACATTCTCTTGAGGCCCCCCCGAGTGCGATATTTTGTATTTCCCCTTATCTCTAGTGTGTTTTGGTACTACTACTTTTCTATTCCGGTGACTGTCTTCCATTTGGGCATTACCTATGTACATACCACTCGGCATTGTCAGAAGTCAGCGTTTCAGCATTTCCTGTCTGTGCCCCGATCACTTCGCTTGGCTGCCTCCTCTGCATTTCTGAGTTCTGCATATTCGAGTTCCTGGGGTGAGGGTCTTCTCTATCTGGTTCCGTCTCCTTTGTGGCTATTTTTAGGCCGAATGTTGCCTTGGCACTCGAACTAACTAATACTTATGTATTTAATGGCTAAAGTTAATAGGAATTGGTGATGAAAATTAGTTTTAAAAGTATATTTTTTTGTAGTTCTAAAGTATTATTTTCTTTTTTAGAGTTTAGATTAAAAGCCACTTTAAAGAAGAGGTAGAAATTATCTACTTCTTACACATTCTGTTCATGCTAATTAAAAATATTTAATCTTTTCGGAGTAAAACATGTAATCTCAAGGTTATACTAGTAAAAGCAAGAAATATAAGTTTAAGTTAATTTTCCGATTCAATTCTTAATAAATGTAATGTTATAAAAGCCAAGTGTTTTGAGTAAGCGAAATGTTCAATTGTCAATTATTACCCGAGGCTCTCCACTTTTCCGACTCGTGGCCACTTCTTTGTCTCTGTTTGCATTGCAACGTGCTCGTAAAATGCGTTCTATTTTGTTACTTTGTATCGCATTGCTCTAACACCCTTTCTGTATCTTTTTCTCATTTATTGCAGCACAAAACTTTGTCCAACGAAGCACGTAGAAAGGAAATCGGCAAGGAAAAACTGTGAAAAGTGAAGTGAAAGAGACAAACAGTGATTATGAAATAACGGTGTAAATGAGAAAAAGACAATTAGCGTCCTAAATTTAAATATAATTTAAAGACTATTTCCATGGTATAGTTGTCGGACCGATTAAGAGCAAAAATTTCGAGATCAATATTAAATTATTGGTTGTGTTGGCATGTTTAGTGTGTTCGATGCCGGTGCGGTTAAGTGTCGTCTATGGCCGAATCCGTTAAAAGTCAATCGCTCTCTGCATTGACGGAGGGGCAGCACGACGACGGTGGTTCAACAGCAACAGCAGCGACATTGGTTAATTATACCGGTGCGGCCCATATCACATTTTCATCCAATCACTCGTCCCAGCGGCGACGCAATAACAACGCAAGCAAAAACAAGAAACGCAACACGCCGGCAACATCATCAGGTCCTGCCGTCAGCTCCTCCGTCGACATAGTACCCACCACCTCGACTGCAACTACCACCACCTCCTCCCGTCGCTCCCGCAGTCAAGGCCGTCACTCCTCCGCAGCAGTCCACAGTAGCAAGGAGTCGCAAATCTCCAATCGCGCGGCTGCAGCATTTCGTTCCCCGTCATCGCCAGCATCCAAATCCATCCCGATCCCAAGTGATCAATCGCTTTCGCCCGGCACTCGTAAGCGTCAGCATCATCAGCACAACAGCGGCGGCAGCAATACCGCCAGCAGCAGCAGCAGCAATACCGCCAGCAGCAGTAGCAACCACACTCGCAGTAGCCTCCAATGTGAGTTTCCTTATTGTTAGAACATCCTAAAAACCTTTGGTAACCTAATAAGAATTACTATCGATACATTTTATAAAGTTTTCTCATGTTTAAAATGTAATAACTAAAAAAACTTTATACATCTAATAATTTTTTTAAATTTTATTCCTTCTAAGACCATAAGAACAAGTAAAAGAAATCGTTATTATACCCGTTACTCGTAGAGTAAAAGGGTATATTGTATTCGTGCAAAAGTATGTAACAGGTAGAAGGAAGCGTTTCCGACCCTATAAAGTATATATATTCTTGTTCAGGATCACTAGCCGAGTCGATCTAGCCATGTCCGTCTGTCTGTCCGTATGAACGCTGAGATCTCGGAAACTATAAAAGCTAGAAGATTGGCATTTTGCATGTAGATTTTAGGAGTTCATACGCAGCGCAAGTTTGTTTCAAAATGGTGCCACGCCCCCACTGACGCCCACAAGCCACAAGCTGTGGCCACAGTTTTGATGATATTATGAAAATTTTAATTGATATGTATTTGTTTCGTCAATAAATATCGTTTGGCCTAATAAAAGTTTGCCACGCCCACTCTAACGCCCAAAAACCCATTAAACGCTTAAGCATGGCTAGCGCCTAACGGATGACTTTGGAACAGCTGGCCAAGGTGCTCAACAGAGTCAACGTTAATTCTCGATAAGGATTTCTATTAAAGGAAATTGCGATGGTTTTCATTTGTCAATACCGAACTATATCCCAAGAACTATGCAAATCAAATCAAGTTAGCCAAATTGGAGGTCTGAGTCAAACAATGGCCTATGTGTGTATGTATGTAAGCATATACATATGTATGTAAAGATAACTCCTTTCAAAGAAAGCTATTCGCTATACCCGTTACTCGTGTTGTGCAAACATTTAGACTTTAATATACATAATACTATTTAAGAATGTATGTGTTTAGCCAATATAAGTATGTGTGTTTAATATTTCTAGTCAATTTATTACAAGAAGGCATATTTATATTAAGTTGTTTAGCTGACTAACGGGTATCTAATAGTCGAGGCACTCGACTATAGCGTTCTCTCTTGTTTAAGTAAGAAATTGTTGTAATCATAATTTTAACAAAAATGGAACAACTTGCCTAAAAAAATATTTTAATGAACCGAAACGCCATTCATTTAGTTTTTAATTTTTTTTTTTTTATCGTGTCCAACTTTTAGACCTTTCCTCTATTAGAGAGATATTTAAAAAAACGTATTCCAAACCAATTTTTTAATGTTATAATGTTATCAATCGGAATTTTTATTTAAAAAATGAACCACATTTGGTTGTTTTTGATTATGCTGCTAATGTTATAATGTTATCAATCGGAATTTTTATTTAAAAAATGAACCACATTTGGTTGTTTTTAATTATGCTGCCACAAAATTACTTTAAAGTTTTTTTTGTTTTCTTTTTAATTGTTTAGAAAAGAATCTTGCCAATCTACCAATCTGTTCCAATATTGGGTCAAAGGCACTATATTAAAATACAATGGCAGTATCGAAAATTCCGCTTCTGAATAAAAAACTACTGATCAAACTTAAAGTACCCTCTGCATAGGACTACGAAAACATAGACAGACAGTTTTTTTTGCTACCGTTTTGACGTTTCTAAATTCATGATTTTGTATTTGTTTGTTTGTCCAAATTTTAAAACTAGTTAATCATTTCCTCTATTCCCATCCGTAAAAAAGCCACAGAATAAAAATAGTTATAAGCCCGTCGATCGAGTCGAAGTAATAATCCGAATTTGATCTGTTTTTTCTCCGATGCCTTTTTCAGCGGCGCCCGGTGGAGATCAGTTGGTGGAGCTTTGTTCTCCGCTCAAGAAACGCCGCCTGCAGCAGACCTTGGGATCAGCAGTCGCGGAAGGAGCAGCGGGAATTGGCTTAGCTGTAATAAGCGTCGACCAGACGCCTCTCCAGCCATCCGGAGATTGTGTAGCTCAGCGCACGCGATCCAAGACCATTTCCCCAGAGGAGCTGCCTAGCACAAGCAGCGCTGCGGCTGCGGCGCGCCATAATCATCACCACCAGTTCCGGGCCAGTGCCAGCTCCAGCAGCTTTCCGGCCAGCTGTCGGAACAAGCGCAAAGCTAGTGGTGGAGGATCGGGAGCTGTGGTCGAGACCACTCCCCAACGAGGGGCAACAATAGCTCGTGCCGGACGCAGCGGCAATCTGCTGAACTACTACCGCAAAACGCGGAAGGTTAGCCACACGCGCTCCTCTCAGAAGCCGGAAAAATACGTGGTACAGGCAGAGGACACTGCCACCACCAGCCGAAACGGATCAGCAGGATCCGGATCCAGCAACAAGTCGGGTGTTATCACCAAATCCAGGAAAAGCTTGCGCCACTCGCAACAGAATCTACTGGACACAGAGAGCCCAGGAACGGAAAGACTTGGTGCCGAAGCTGGAGCTGAGAAGCAACAGTCGGTGCACGGGAATCTGGACGTGGAGGACCACCTGCCGACCCTCGAGGCGGCTCTGAACCACGCAGAGGCATCAGTTAACCACACTCAGGGTCAGTTGGAGGCGGAGGGCCAGCCAGAGGTGCAGGACGACAACGACGAAGACGAGGAGGACGACGAGGAAGAGGAAGAAGAGGAGGAGGAGGAAGTGGGCTTCTACGAGATTGTAAACTCAGCTGACTCGTCGTACGAGGAAGACGCCCAGATCGTTGCCGAGGAGGACGAGCTCACAACGGAAGAGGACGTCGACGACGAGGAAGACGACGACATCGAGGAGGACGAAGACATCGAGGAGGAGGACCTCTCTGAGAGCGAATTCGCCCAACAACTGATTGGTGAACTTGGTGGTGAGTTTCATCAGATTACTTTTTCACCGCATTGCATTCTGCAGCCATCTTCCATTTATTCGTAATATATGTCTGTAGATATCTTTTGTAAATATTGAAATGTTTTTGTTGCATACTAAATGTAGTGTACCCATAAAACTTAACCACTAGTAAAAGGACTAAACTTATGAGTTTCACATTTAATAATGTTTATTTTTAACACCCCAAAACTTATTAACATTCGCTTTCTATTTATTTACTTCCAATTTTATTAGAGTGGCATTAAGAATCATTATTATTATTATAATTATTGATTTAGAATTAGAACAAGTTTATTAAAACTTTCATAAAGGTTTAACTAATAAATCCCAAACAACTAAAAGTGGAGGGATTTCTAAAATCACCGTTAAAAAAGCTTATAAATGATAATCGGTTTAGAAAAGAATTCTTCAAGGCCAAAAATGGCGCATTAGTACTGACCTAAACTAGAATTTTAAAAGCTCAGAGCCAAGACAAAGACTTTGCATTTTAAATTTAAACTTTGCGACCATTTCTTTTTGGTTAGACAGAAATGATTTGCACTTCTTTGTATTTTCGTTGTCATAATGTGATTTTTATTGTCTATCAGTTTGCGCATTCCTTATCAGTAGCGAAAAAAAATATGTATACTTATACATTGACGAAGCATTTATTCTACGAAGTGTCCTCGTCTTGTCGCCGTTCCCCAATGCCTACTGTAGTGTTTTTGTGATTTTGATAAAAGGCGAATTGTTCGTAATGCCAACGCACTCAAATATGCCAACGACAAACGATCGGCTGGCAGTATGAATTCGTACATTGCGCTGTCTGGAACAGGAATATATATACTGTATATACATTTGTGTATATAAAATTGCGCTGATTAAAAAGTTCGTAGTCGAGTGAATCTAGTTGTGGAGTACTCTACTATTTGCTTGCATTGCATGTATGTAACTTACATTTTATGGTTTAAAAAAAGGTTTAATACAGGGAAAGTGTTAAGAACTTTGGATGTGCTGTTACCTGTTGCCAATTTACCACAACCATAATTTTCATTTCATCCCCCTTTGACCCAAACTCAGTAGTCATTAATTTATATTGTTTTATTTCACATTAAGGCTCATTTATCGAAACGCAAAGAAACGCCCACATTATAATTTTAACCCCACATTTGATCACATTGTATTTGTACATTATTTATTATTTATGCAAGAAATGATCAGTGAAAACTACCCATAAGGGTTTAGTTATTGTGTTATTTTTATACCCTTGCAGAGGGTATTATAATTTTGGTCAAAAGTGTGCAACGCAGTGAAGGAGACATCTCCGACCCTATAAAGTATATATATTCTTGATCAGGATCACCTCCTGAGTTGATATAGCCATGTCCGTCTGTCCGTCTGTCTGTCCGTCTGTCTGTTTCTACGCAAACTAGTCTCTCAGTTTTAAAGCTATCGAGTTCAAACTTTGCACACACCCTTCTTTCCTTTGCACGCAGTATATATGTCGGAACGGCCGGGATCGGCCGACTATATCCTATAGCTGCCATATAACTGATTGATCGGAAATGCCATAACTTTGGTGTTTGTAAAGTTAGGAAGTTGGAATTTTCTATGGGTTTTATATTTGGCCAATCAATCCGACCTACCAAATTTCATAAGGATCGGCCGACTATATCTTATAGCTGCCATATAACTGATTGATCGGAAATGCCATAACTTTGGTGTTTGTAAAGTTAGGAAGTTGGAATTTTCTATGGGTTTTATATTTGGCCAATCAATCCGACCTACCAAATTTCATAAGGATCGGCCGACTATATCTTATAGCTGCCATATAACTGATTGATCGGAAATGCCATAATTTTGGTGTTTGTAAAGTTAGGAAGTTGGGATTTTCTATGGGTTTTATTTTTGGCCAATCAATCCGACCTACCAAAGTTCATAAGGATCGGCCGACTATATCTTATAGCTGCCATATAACTGAACGATTGGAAATGCTATAAATTTGGTGTTTTTAAAGTTGGGAAGTTGTGATTTTTTATGAGTATTAAGAACGCATCATATGAATAATTTTGGAGAATATAATTTACAGAGTATTCTGCAAGGGTATATCAACTTCGGCTCCGCCCGAAGTTAGCTTTCCTTTCTTGTTAAATATAATTTTGTGCGGGGGCGACAGCTTTATTGGCCAGATTTTGAAAAAAAGGCAATGTTTGTCGGGCAATAATGCCACTTAGAAGTGTTAAACAATATTATTAGTTTGAAACCGTTTTCGGATTATACTTTTTACCCTGCAAAAAAACCACCCCCTAAAAGAAATGTTTATTTTTGCACGTTGTTGTTGTTGCAAATTTAGTTGTTTTAATTTATACTTTTGCCAAACAAGTTACACATAATATTTAATCTAAAACAAAAATGATTAAACATAAATCTCTCTTAACATATGATTTTTGAGTAAAAGAATACTTTACTTGCTGATGCTTGTGTTGTTGATGATGATGATGATGTTGTTGTTTTTGTGCAAAAACAATAAACCAAAGCGAAGTTTCGAATGTATTTGTGGTGTCCACAAAGGCGGCATGAAACCAACCATTTGTCCAGCGCAGAAAAAGAGAGAGAGATGAGAGAGTAAATCAGCAGCTGCAGCAGCAGAGGCGACAACAGCAACTATTCAGCAGCAGCAGCAACAACAAAGTGCAGCTTAAACATCAATCAATGGGGAATAATTTAATTAAACAAAAACGAGAATTACACGGCCGGGTGCGTGTGTGTGCGTGTGCTTAGTTAAGTGTGAGAGAGATCTGCAGCAACTGCAACATCAGAAGCGACAGCAGCAACATCATCATTGTCAGCGACAGAAGGTCGTCCAGTCTCCTCTCCTGATTTCCCCTTGCCATTACCTTTTTGAAAGCCAAACACACACAGCGCTCAAAATAATATTTTTTGCATTACATTAAACAATGAAAAAAAAAACAAACCAACTAACTCAAGTAGTGTAGCTGCAAGAAAATAATAACAAAAAATCCCCTAAAAAATGATTGAAAACATCAATAAATAAAGCTGTTAACTGTTGTCTCCCACTACTCTCTCTCTCTCTCTACTCCCTCTACCCCATTCTCTCACTCTCACACCCCCACCCACACTTGTCTCGTAAAGGAGAACAACAACAACAACCACAACGTGCCAGCAGCACCATTAAAACAACCAAGAACAACACACCAGGGGTAGCAGCAGCAAACACTATAAAGGCGACAACAACAGCAACAACGTCGTCCGGCTATCAGCAACGTGCCGCCCCCCATGGACAGGGGGCGGGGCCAGGCGCAGGAGGGGGCGGGCCACGTGCCACGCGCAGCACCAATAGCAACACCAGCAACAACGTTGTTGACTACAGCATTATGCCGCACCTCACGACGGCTACAACAACAACGTCATATGCCTTGACACCGCAGCAGCAACAACAACAACAACAACCGTCACAACCTCCGTCGCAACAGCAACAACAAACACACCAACAACAACAACCACAACAACATCCACCTCAATTGGTGCCCACAACACATCAGTTTGCACACTTGTCTTCCTTTGTGACACCAACAGCAGCGGCAGCAGCAGCAGCGGCCCACTATCCACCAGCTTCTGCTGCTGCCGCTTACTTTGCACAGCAGCAACACCATCAGCATCAGCAACACGTGCAACAGCAGCAGCCACCGCAGCCGCACTATTACCATAGTTCTGTGGCCGTGTTGCATCAACCTCCACCGCACCATTTTACCTCCACAGGAGCAGGACCACCGCCGGCACTCTACCAACAACAGCCGCCGCCGCCTCAGCTAACACGCTACACGCCGGCGACAGCGACAACAGCGGCCACGTTTGTGCCCCCGCAGCAGCAACAGGTTGCCTACAATCCACAACAGCAGCAACACTCCTCACTGCGACGCAGTTCACGTGGCAAGACGGGTTCTTGTGTGAGTTCGGCAGCAGCAGCACAGCAGCAGCAACACCACCAGCAGCAACAGCAACATAGCAACGCTGCTGCTGCTGTACAACAGCAATTGCTGCCACCGCCTGGTACCTATCAATACCAACAGGTGGGCGGTAATACAGTTGTAGTTGCCGTGCGTCATCAGCAACAGTTGCAACAGCAGCAGCAGCAGCAACAACAACAACAACAGCAACATCAACATCAACAATTGGCTTTACATCAGCAGCAACAACAGCAACATCAGCAGCGTGCCACGCTCGTGCAGCCGGGATTCTTATTCAGCTATCGCAGCAATCATCCTCAGCAGCAACAACAGCAACCGACACAACAAATACATCAGGGGCCCAAAGTGACACATAGCAGTGGTAAGAAGATAAAGAAGGAGCGAAAATAAGGATAAAAGGACGAGAGACCGCAAGCAAATCAAAAAGCCAACGCATCGCCAGCATGTTTAGAAAGGGTTAACAATAGGTTAACAATAGGGAAAGTTTGAAACAGGGTTGCAAAAACACCAATACATTTCAAATATACACAAAGACAAGTGAAGATGAGTTGTCGCTTCGCTCAACAATGGTTTTTAATAAGGAATTGTGAGCACACACGCACTTAAGGGCTTATGATTTATTGAGTCATTGTGGTCCGATATACACATACGGTTCTAATTTATAAAATTGTTTAACCATTTTCAATCGGAATTTTTGTCATTCCGAAAAATGAATGGTTCTGAGACTTAGCGAAATGCTATCTTCCCATATTAGTTTTAGCAAAATTGCTTAAACCTAGCCCTTATATTTTGGGATTTTAAACCACCCAGAGATAGAGGTGGGAACTACACAATCTGGTAACTTATGTTTAAATCAGTCCGGTCAAAATGTATCTAAAATGTATTCAATGCAGCTATAACTATTTAGAGCTGTCAATATACAAAATGTTGTTGACTAAATCGAGTGATTACTATTTAGAGGGGGCTCTGTTGTGAGCATTTAGTTTTATCGTAAATACTGTAAAAATTATAGGGTATTGGTCTCACTCTTTATCTTTTTTGGTGCTGGTTATAGATTAGGTGATAATACTACCCATATTGCACTGAAAGAAAAAAAAATACTACACACAAAAACACACCAACCCCAATTCCTTTCTCTGTCTCTCGCTCGCTCATCCCTGCGTTGCTTTGCTCGCGGTGTCTGCCCAAATAATTCAAAAAACTTAACCGATCTGAACCTGAACCGAAATAATAGTGACTTAACTTTGTTTTGCTCTGTTTTCTCTCTACCACCCGCTCTCTGTCTTCGTCTCTTTTGTCTGATTAGCAGCTTCGGATGCTTTAACATATAGTTTGATGGCACAGCAACCGCCAAGTGGACCGCCGCATGCAGGTGGACAGCAAATAACGCCAGGTAAACGTTCAACCCAATCGATCAGTATACATTTACGCACCAATTCCAGCCCATTCCCACACACATTTAGCATTGCTTTGATTTGATTTTATTTCACCTTACGCAGAAAAATCATGCACTCACATCACACAGGGCGACCCAGGTGGCAGCACACTTTTGTTATTTCACCTTTTATTTTACTTTATTCGTATGCTATCTTTAGATTGTTTAGTTTTACTTTTATAGTCTTGATTTATTAGAATTTTATTTATCTAAAGTTTGTTAACTAGTTTCTCTATTTTACTTGAATATTCTTTCCCATTTTGTGCCATTAACAATATTTAATTATTTAACTATCAGGGGATCGAAAATATTTTATATTAAACAAAAATGTTTTCCAATTATACAATTTTAAACTCTTCTTAAATATTATATTCTTAGTTTGAATCGTTAAAATTAAAAACGTATTTTTTGTTAAATATATCTAACTAAGTTTTCTCAAATTTAGGAAGAATATATCAAATAAATTACTCATATCTTTAAAAAGTTGCAGTATTTACTCTGAAATTAATGGTTCTTAATTATTTATTTATTATTTGTTTAATTTTTTTATTTTTCACCGTTTCTTTAATTTTGAATCTTTTCCGATTCAAATCCAAAAAATTATATCCTAAGCCTTTACTTTCTGTTTTGACATATTTGTTTCATGTTTTACTTACACGCGAATGAAAATCCCTTAACCTTTAAAATAATTGTTTCCCAAACGCCATGTCGAATTATAATATTAATGAAGAGTTTTTTGCTTTCCTTCGTAACGCCGGTCTAGGTGCCAACTCAGCCAATCTCAGCATTGTAGCGGCCGCTCTTAGTGCCGCCCGTGACGTTGGAGGAGGAGCCGGCGGAGGAGGAGGATCAGCAGGAGGCGGAGGAGCACCAGCCACTGGAGCATCAGCTGCATCCGGAGGAACCACCAGCGCCGTGGGCGTGACGAGCAGCAGCAACAGCAGTGCCGGCCAACCAGCCAGCAACAACAGCAGCAACAATGTGACTGCAGCGGGATCAGGGTCAGCTCCAGGCGGAGGACCCACAGCCACCGGAACGAGTAGCGGTGGTCAGCATGGCAGCGGGTCAGGAGGAGCTGCTGCCGCCGATTCCGAGAGTGATGATAGCGAGGTGGGTCGTCTACAGGCTTTGCTCGAGGCTCGCGGACTTCCGCCCCACTTATTCGGAGCTCTTGGCCCGAGGATGACCCACATCCTCCATCGCACCATTGGAAACAGCAGCAGTTCCAAGGCCAATCAACTCCTGCAAGGACTGCAATCTCACGATGAATCCCAGCAGCTGCAGGCTGCCATTGAAATGTGTCAGATGCTGGTGATGGGCAACGAGGATACCCTCGCTGGCTTTCCCATTAAGCAGGTGGTCCCTGCTCTAATCCAACTCCTTCGAATGGAGCACAACTTTGACATCATGAACAATGCTTGTAGGGCATTGGCCTACATGCTGGAAGCTCTGCCCCGATCCTCGGGCACCGTGGTAGAGGCGGTTCCAGTCTTTTTGGAGAAACTACAGGTTATCCAGTGCATGGATGTGGCGGAACAAAGCTTAACCGCCTTGGAGATTCTCTCCAGGCGACACAACAAGGCCATCCTGCAGGCAAATGGTATTTCGGCCTGCCTCACCTATTTGGATTTCTTTTCGATTGTGGCTCAGAGGGCAGCACTAGCAATTGCAGCTAATTGCTGCTTAAACATGCACCCTGAGGAATTCCACTTCGTTGCGGAGAGCTTGCCCTTATTAGCTCGCCTGCTCTCGCAGCAGGACAAGAAGTGTGTGGAGAGCGTGTGCTCCGCTTTCTGTCGCCTGGTGGAGAGTTTCCAGCACGATAGTCAGCGCCTACAGCAGATCGCTAGTCCGGATCTGTTAAAGAACTGCCAGCAACTACTGCTGGTCACACCGGCCATCCTGAATACAGGAACCTTCACAGCCGTGGTCCGGATGTTGAGTCTAATGTGTGGCAGCTGTCCAGACTTGGCCATCTCCCTGCTTAGGAACGACATAGCAGCCACCCTGCTTTATTTGCTCACCGGAAATGCAGAGCCGGCTGCTGCCAGTGCCACTCATGTGGAACTGATCTCACGCTCACCTTCAGAGCTGTACGAACTCACATGCCTAATTGGCGAGCTGATGCCGCGCCTACCTTTGGATGGGATTTTCGCTGTGGACTCGCTGCTGGACCGGCCCACGCTTAACACCCAGGATCAGGTGCACTGGCAGTGGCGTGATGATCGCGGATCCTGGCACAACTATTCCACGATTGATTCCCGGCTTATTGAGGCCGCCAACCAGAGCAGCGAGGATGAGATCAGCCTTAGCACATTTGGACGCACCTACACTGTGGACTTTCATGCCATGCAGCAGATTAACGAGGACACGGGCACCACACGTCCTGTTCAGCGTCGCCTCAACCACAACTATGTGGCCCCCATGACTGCCGGACAGGACTTGACCACCACTGCTGCAGGTTCAGCAGCTTCGGGAGGAGCGTCAACGTCCGCTGCAGCAGCGGCTGCCGCCTCCAACAATATAAACAATAATAATCCACCACCGAATAGTGGCACCCAAGTCAAGCGCCGACCATCACTAGACGCTAGAATCGCATGCCTTAAGGTAAGGGATATATACAAATAACAAAAGTAATAGTAGTAATAGTAATGAGTTATTTGTTACTTAAATCACTGAGTTTAGAATTGTAAAAATTAATTGCACATGATAATAATTCAATGATATTGCCGTTCTCCACGAAAACAAACAGATGTAAAATCAATAACACTGCTAAAAATTTGACTTAATTTTTTACAATTTGTATAGTTATAGTACTTACCGAGAGATTCACGCAAATTTTCACTGCGTTAGTGTTTTCAGAAAAATTAGTTAAAAATTTAGCTTTTAATTAATTATCAATAACAAGCAGACCAATTCTAGATATCAAAATTTAAGTCAATAATTTTTGACAATATTGTGACTTATATTTGTTTATTTTATCGAATCTTAGGAGGAGCGTGGTCTCGCTGCGGACTTCATTAAACACATCTTTAACGTCCTGTATGAGGTATACAGCTCGTCGGCCGGACCGAATGTGCGCTACAAGTGCCTGCGCGCCCTTCTTCGGATGGTATACTATGCCACGCCGGAGTTGCTGCGTCAGGTGCTTAAGTATCAGCTGGTCTCCAGTCACATTGCCGGCATGCTGGGCAGCAACGATCTGCGCATTGTGGTTGGAGCCCTCCAAATGGCTGAGATCCTAATGCGCCAGCTGCCTGATGTATTTGGCACCCACTTTCGTCGTGAGGGAGTTATCTACCAGTTCACTCAGCTGACGGATCCGAATAATCCCATATGCGCGAATCCTTCGCCGAAGCCACTTAGCACAACAGCCACGCCAACCGCCAATGCAGGCGGATCACAATCGGCTCCGGCCTCCGCCAACAGCCTGCAGGTTAATCCCTTCTTCATGGACAGCGCTCCGGGATCGTCAAGCGCTTCCACGACTCCCAGCAGCAGCAAGCATCAATCATATAGCGTGAAGAGCTTTTCGCATGCTATGAACGCCCTGACGGCCAGCGCCAAAGGAACTCCAGCCGGAGCGCTGGACGCCACTGCTACCTCGGCTTCAGCTGGTGGTTACAACTACAGCAGCTCGGCTCCTTCTTCATCCTCGACGGCTGGAGCGCCCGCTGCTTTCTTTGTGGCCCAACAGGGAGATCCACGCCAGTATGTGCACTTCCAGCAGCCGGCAGTTCCACCACCACCACCCCAGTTGGAGCTTCTTCCAACTGGTGTCCAGCAACAAGGGCAGCAGGTGCCTCAGGTGATCTACCAGCCGCAGCAACAACAGCCCGCACACTTGGTGGTGGCCTCCACCAGTAGTGCAGCTGCCTCCGCATCTTCTTCTTCATCCTCCTCGTCCTCGGCCTCGGCGCTGCAGCACAAGATGACGGACATGCTAAAGCGAAAAGCACCTCCCAAACGCAAGTCGCAGAGCAGTGGTCGGGCTAAGTCCAGGCAAGAGGATGCGGCAGTCGCAGCAGCCGGATCTGGAGTTGGAGGAGCGCCCCCTGCTTCGGCCAGTTCCGCTATGCACGAACTTCTCAGCCGTGCCACAAGTAAGTTTATTTGTCTATAAGCCTGAAAAAGAAATAAAGGTATTAGAGTTGTGGGATTAACTACATTTTTCCTGATTATTTTACATAAGCCTAATCAAGATTTTATCGCTTTTTAAGGTCTTGGCAGCGGCACTGGAGGCAGGAGTACGCCCAATTCAGGCAGTGGTTCTGGAAGCTCCAAGTCTCGCTTTAACGCCGGAAACTCGACCAACGCCGGATCAAGCAAATCCTCGTTCTTGGCTTCGCTCAATCCAGCACGCTGGGGCCGCCAGACTCATCATCATCACCACCATCAGCAGTCGCAGCAGCAGCACCACGGCCTTTCCAAAGATGCCGGAAACGCAAACTCAAGTGGGTCCGGCTCCGGAGCTGGGTTGGCTTATACGGTGAACCAACATGGCGCCGGTAGTGGAGCTGGAGGACTGAACGCTGCAGCCGTTGCGGCAAGTATCAGTAAGAGTATCTCCCACGCCAATCTCCTAGCGGCGGCCAACAGGGAAAGAGCTCGTCAGTGGGTACGAGAACAGGCTATAGACTTTGTGAAGCGCTACACTGAACAGGAGGCCCGAAGGAGTAAGGCTGCCTCAGAAAGTGGAGCCACCCAGACCGGAAGTAGCGGAGTGGGATTATCATCGACGGGCAGTACTCCCCTGTCCACTGCGGGCAGCACCAACGTCTTGGAGCGGTTGTCCAGCATTCTGTTTAAGCTCAATGGCAGCTACCACGACTGTCTGGATGCTCTTCTCGAGCTGAAGACCATCCTTTTGGAGAGTGACATCTCCCCATTCGAGGTGAATCATTCGGGCCTGATCAAGGCCATGCTCAACTACATGACCAGCGAGTCGGGCCTAGTGGAGCGCGATGCCCGCCTCCGCAGCTTCATGCACGTATTTGCCGGACTGCCCTTGGAGCCCCTGCTCCAGAACGTCGGCCAGATGCCGACCATCGAGCCACTTGCATTCGGCGCCTTTGTGGCCAAGTTAAACGGCTGCGTCACGCAACTAGAACAGTTTCCAGTTAAGGTCCACGACTTTCCCGCCGGTCCTGGGGGCAGGTCCAATCAGAGTGCGCTGCGGTTCTTCAACACCCATCAACTGAAGGTAAGTAGAAGGCAATCAACATCGATCCTTAAACTAAATTTAGATGAAACCATCTTAAAATTAAATATTAAAAAAATATTAAAAAATATTTCCATTAAAACCAACTCAATTGTATTTAAATGTGATCAGCCAATTAATATAATCTTTAACATTAACTAAATTGTTTTCGACTCATATTAATTAAAGTAATTCGTTTATATAAACAAGTAAACTCTTTATATCTATGATGTCTAAGTAAATTTAAATTTGTATTTTCTAGTGCAACCTGCAACGTCACCCGCAGTGCAGCAATCTGCGTCAGTGGAAGGGCGGCACTGTAAAGATCGACCCTCTGGCCATGGTCCAGGCCATCGAGCGGTATCTGGTTGTGCGCGGCTACGGAGGCATCCGGGCGGACTCTGACGACGACAGTGAAGAAGATATGGACGACAACGTGGCGGCTGTGGTTATGACCCAGGCGGGTTTCAAGCACAAGCTGCAGTTCACGATCGGGGATCACGTGTTGCCCTACAATATGACCGTCTACCAGGCGGTCAAGCAGTTCTCTCCGCTGGTCAGTGAGCAGCCTGAGACGGACAACGAATCGGAGACGCTTTTAGGAAACGCTAGCATATGGGTGCAGCAGCACACCATTTACTACCGCCCCGTGGAGGAGGAAGTTGCTTCGGGAGCAACTGCGGGAGCAGCCTCCAGCAGTAGCTCGTGCAGCAGTGGCGTACAAAAGCAGCAGAGCACGTCCAGTACCGCCTCCAGTTATGCGAACGCCTCATCATCGTGCTCTTCGTCCTCTGGAGTGGCCAGTGGTGGAGGGTCCTCCTCGAAGAAGGCGCACAAATCCAGCAGCAAGTTCATGCGCAAGAAGACGGAGCTATGGCACGAGGGAATTGCTCCTGGAGTGATGTCGGCTCTGAAGCCATTCCTCAGCAGCTTGCTTCCAGCTGATGTGGTGACCGTGCAGGATTCCTCGCTAGATGCCTTGTGTATGCTGCGAGTGATCCACGCTCTCAATCGTCACTGGGAGCATCTGTACGGATGTGTTGTGCGTCAGAACATCATTCCCCAGGCGGAGTTCGTGCATCCGAAGATCACGGCCAAGGCCAACCGACAGCTGCAAGATCCGCTCGTCATCATGACAGGAAACCTACCGCAGTGGCTGCCACAGATAGGCATGGCCTGTCCGTTCCTTTTCCCCTTCGAAACGCGACACCTGCTTTTCTACGCCACTAGCTTTGATCGGGACCGCGCTCTTCAGCGTCTGCTGGACACCACGCCCGATCTGAATGCTGCAGAGTCTTCAGAACGCGTGGCTCCTCGGCTTGATCGCCGCAAGCGTGCGATTTCGCGGACGGAGATCCTTAAACAGGCCGAGCACATCCTGCAGGACTTTGGGCACTCCAAGGCCTTGCTGGAGATTCAGTATGAGAACGAGGTTGGTACGGGCTTGGGACCTACCCTGGAGTTCTACGCATTGGTCTCTGCGGAACTGCAGCGCACCGATCTGGGTCTCTGGAATGGAAGCGATAGTTACAAACAGAACTCGGTGACCATTGTGGACGTGGTGAAGGCCAGCAGTACTGTGTTGCACATTGAGGATGCCCTCGAGGCAACTACCATGGACCAAAGTCCTCCGGTAACGGGAGGAGCGTCGCTGGTGAGCAGCACCACCACCACGACGACAGCAACAGCGCAGCAGCTGCATCATCCACCCAACCGCTCCAGCAGTCGCTCGCATGGTTTTCGCAGTGGAGCTGGACAGCAGCAGCTAGCACAGCCGGTGGAGCACAGCTCCTCTAGCGCCGGCGCCAATGAGAACGCTTTAAATATGATTATCGCACAGCAATTCAGTGATATAAACTCTGCTGATCCGGCAGTTTCTGATAATCCCAGTAGCACCACTACCACAACCAGTGTGGTGGAGCAGAACACTACTACGAATCAAAACAACACCACCATGACTACAACCACAACCATGATGAGTTATGTGCATGCGGTGCATGGCCTGTTCCCTCTGCCTCTGGGTAAATCCTCCAAGCTTCCGCAGATGACCAAAGCCAAGGCCAAGTTCAAGTTCTTGGGCAAGTTCATGGCCAAGGCGGTGATGGACAGTCGCATGGTATGATTTCTTCTTTTTAATTCTTGAAATGTGATTACTAATTGCCTTTTACTTCTCCCCTTAGTTGGACTTGCCCTTTTCGTTGCCATTCTATCGCTGGCTGGTCAGCGAAGAGCATTCGATTGGCCTGGCAGATCTGATGCGTGTAGCCCCTGAGGTGCAAAATACTTTGGTGCGTCTGCAGGATCTGGTGCGCCAGCGTGAATACATTCTGTCTGATCCAAACATCGATGCTATGGAGAAGACAGAGAAGGTAAGAGAAGCGTTGCAATACGGTAAATAAAAATATTTTATATATTTCGTTTACATAAATAATTCCTAACTTAAATTATTAAACCATTACTTAGATGAACCATCAATAAATAAGTTGTTAGAAGGAACTTTACACCCCAAGGATTAAAGTTATTTTTCTGATCTAATAGTAATCCGCGATATTTTAAACTTAATATATGTTCAAATAAAAAATTAACTCTCAGCCGCCGAGCCATTTTAGAGATGTCAATCCATCTGTATGAACTAAAATCTCAAAAACTTTATAGAAGCAGAATTTGTAAAAAAAAAAATCACATTTTTTAAAATTCTGTCTGGGAGAACTGAGTTATAGAAATTTGCTCTTTTGTACTTAAAAGTAAACAATTATTTTTTTCTTTCTCTAGATAGAACAGTTGGACCTGGATGGTTGCCCCATCGCAGACCTGGGCCTGGACTTTGTCCTGCCCGGACATGCCAACATTGAGTTGTGTCGTGGGGGTCGCGATACTCCAGTAACTGTGCACAACCTGCATCAGTACATCTCTCTGGTCACCTACTGGTTCCTCATCGAGGGCGTTCAGAAGCAATTTGAGGCACTACGTGAGGGTAAGTAAAAACACAAATCAATTAACGATTTGCCTTAAATCACCCCTTAATTCGTTTTATTATAAAACTAGTACATGGCGGATTGAAATTAATAAAAAAAATTACAATTTACTAAACCGATATTTTTCACAATAGGTTTCGACTCCGTCTTTCCGATCCAGCGGCTGCGTATGTTCTATCCAGAGGAGTTGGAGTGCGTATTTTGCGGATCGGCCAGCGAGCAGCAGCAGCCGCGGTGGGAAGCCAAGATGCTGCAAGACAGCTGCCGCACGGACCACGGATTCCATCAGGAGTCGCAGGCCATCCAATATCTGTACGAGATACTGGCCTCGTATAATCGCGACGAGCAGCGCGCTTTCTTGCAATTCGTGACGGGATCTCCGCGCCTGCCGACAGGCGGATTTAAGGCCTTGACGCCGCCATTGACTATTGTGCGCAAGACGCTGGATGGAAACCAAAACCCCAATGATTATCTACCATCTGTGATGACCTGTGTCAACTATCTAAAGTTGCCCGACTACTCAAGTCGCGACGTGATGCGGCAGAAACTGAAAGTGGCCGCCAACGAGGGCAGTATGTCCTTCCACCTCTCGTAAGCAGGCGACGGAACAAAATACAATCCCTCTTCCCATAAAAACCAGACCTGCAACAACACAAACGGGAACTAAAGAATACATTGTGGGTTATATTCAGTCGGCTATATTCCAAGCGCTACGAAATCGCTGCAGCATGGTTTAACTGGATGGATCTTGTTTGTTTTTTTTCTTACGAAAGTTACTTTCGCCGCGTGCACTTCTCCCCTCCCTTTAACTTTTCCCTCTTGGCAAGCGCACGCCCTGCTAAATTTCAATATAAATATATAATTAAAATATATTTTTTATTACCGAGTTTTGCAAAAAAGAAAAAAACGACAGAAAAGAAAATAAAAGGACAAGAATGCCGACGGGGATGAAGTCAACATGGAAACTAATGATTGATACACCCTCTCCCATAAAATGTTACCTTAAATAAATTGAATAGTAAAAATCGATTATTCAATAACCGATAATTTTGTTCACCCAGAAACGCACAGAGCTGTAAAATGTCGATCGAAGCTTTGCGTTTTAGTTAAATTTGTTTTAGTTTGCTTTTTCTCCCATTCTTATTACTCTCATTCTAATTGTAATATTTACTGTAATCAAGGAATTATTTTATTAAGTTTTTTTTATTTGTTATGTTGAACATTTTTCTCTGGCGTTTAAATATGAGTTTAATTAATTTGTAAGCATCAAATGTGCATAAACGCTTATTAGAAACAAAAATGAATGAAAGTAGAATGAAGAGGAGTAACTGGAGCATTGGAGGTTAACGAGTAGTTCCTTAATGGAAGAGGATGAATTCATCATTATTTACATATAGCTACCCAAAATAAATGATCTAAAACAAAAATGCCCACCCTTGAAAGTAACATTTAAAGAATTAATAATAATTAAACATAAATATACCATAATGATCTATATTTCATGCCCACAAAAAAAAATTAATGCAAATTATGCAAGCTGTGTTACAACAAGAAAAATAAGAAAACAAAAGCCATGATTAGGTGGATTTACGTTTTATTTGAAAAAAAAATGAATTAGGGGAAAGCGGATAAAATGAAATTAGTGTTTAGTGCATCCCTTACAAAAACTATGCATACATATATATAAATATATTATATTTAAACTGTAACAATACATAACTTTATTGTACTTGAAGCATATACAAAAATTTTTGTGTTTGTCTAACTGAAAAGGAGCAGAATGCTATAAATAAATCAAATAAAAATGGATTAACATTAAAACCGAAAAGCGAAATCGATCTTACATTAAAACTAGATACAAATCTTTGCAGTACTGAAAACTGATTACTGACATGTGGTATATATACATATAACTATAAAATCATTTATATAATATAATTATACTTAACTGGAAACAATGGCATCTCTTGAGATGCTGGTCAACATAAAAATGATAGAATTAAATTTTTAAATAACAGTAATATTACATACTATCTATGTAGTTACATCAAAAACATTTGCTCTATGATAACGACAAGAAAGTAAAATAAACCAACCAAGAAGCAAGCAAATAAAACAAAAAGATTATATGACAAATTAAGTGGAGTGATTTTATTGAATTTGGAAATGGAATCGCCTATACTACACATTAGAGCCCTCCCTGAGTTGGAGCTCAAAGGATTATTGATTAATTGAGTCATGGGTTTACTGAGTGAGAATGCCTTTAGTCTGTTGTTATGGAATGGATAATGTAAGTGTTTATGAAGCCCTTAAATGGAATTTAAGTGGTAGGATCCGATTTACTTTAAGCTTCAAAAAGAGGGCTACATTGGGCTCCTTTAAAAAAATTGACGGGTTCAGCCATTTTCTACGGACCACATTAACATATTTCAAAAAATACTTTATTTGCTTACCCAAAAATAGATTAATTTTTCGTCACAAAACTTGATTTCAGAAACTTTAGTTGCTAAAACTTCAATTTGATATTCTATAATATATTGAATATATCCGCTTTGCTTTGTTGAAATTTGACCCCGATCCTCTATACCGTAAAAATGTATGTTTTGAATTTCAAAAGTAAATTCATTTTCCGATGGTAAAGTTTTATTTAATTGAGTAGCAACAGTTGAAGTGTGGAGCTGAAAAATAACGTTTTCAATTTAAAAGTTTTACTATTTCAGTCAAAATTTGGCAACGAAGTGAATAAGTAAATATCGACCATTTGAAGAAAATATATGATCGTCATCATTACTAGACGATTTGATATAACCATGTCCGCCTGTCCGTCCGTTTCTAGGTATTAAGTCTCTAAGTTTTGAAAACTTTGTTGAAAGCCTTCTTTCTATTCCAAGTAATATCGGACCGAACGCCAATATCATATAGCTGCCATAGAAACAATTTTACTTTATTTACAAATAATATTGAGGATTTAAAAAGTACATTTTGAATCATTATACTATTGAATAATTATAATTATTGTATTAAATCAAAGAAATAGTTGCCAAAGGAACGGAACGATCGAGAAATGTAATGGATAATGGACATAATATTGTTGTTATTTATTTTATTCTTTAGAACAGTACACGTTGTCATAGGCACCAAGTAGGCTTTCCTGGTTGTCATTGAAACGGAAAACGAAGTAAAGGCTGTTCTAAAATGATTTTATAATCCAACAACCAGACGGCAAATACAACCCGAAAAACTGAGACGTCATCCGACTTTTCTTGGCCTAGCTGAGAGGCTAATCTGATAGCACGATGAATCGCTCCGACGACATGAAGGTGGCCTCGCTGAATGACTTCAAGCTGGAAGCGATGGCCTCCGTGGGCTGGGCGGTGGACTCGGACATCCCCATGGCGAATGCCGAGAACCTGGCCATCCTGAAGGAGCTGGCCACCCTGAGGGCGTTGAAGCTAGAGGTTCAGCAGCACATGAATTCGCTGGACGAACGCGAGAAGGCGGTGGAACGGCATAAGAAGAACATTGAGGGCACTATTCAGCAGAATATGGTAAGAATGCTGGAGTGGGTGTCCTTCCTGTACTTGCCTTTCTCCAATAAATCTTCAGACGCTGTATAGCTCCTTGAAGGATGACGTTATTAAGGAGGCGCACAAGGTGCAGCTGGTAATCTTGGAGCGCAACAAGATCAAGGAGGATCTACGCAAGACTCAAAAGGAGCTGGAGGAGTATACTGAATATGCGGAGGTCACTGAACGTAAGTATAATCCATTAAGTGGAGATGCTATTTAGCACAATTAATCATAAATTAAATAAAGAAGCTTACGATAAAAAATATTTTATTATTAATGTTTAAAATCTATATATCATATTTTATTTTTATACTTCTACCTCTTGCTATTGAAAAGCTTTTTCGATCCTGACAAATGTATCCGTTAGCATCCTTTTGAAAGAATAAATTTTTTATATTGCGATCACAATTTTACAAATACATTTTTACCAAAATATATATAACTTTGTTTATCAACGACTTTTCAGTTAATTATTTTAATGTTTTACCGGCTCGAGGTCAACGGATTAATTGAAAAAAATTAAAAGAAAAGTTTTTTTCAGGGTATTATTATTAAACTCCACGTTCCACGATGTTAATTAAATTATTTGCTCTGAAAAAACTTTTTTTTATTTCGTTTTCGGTTGCTAAAGCGCCAAAAAATGCCAAAGCGGCAGAAATTTAGAAACTTTTGTTTTTCTTTTTTACAATTAATCCGTTGACCTCAGGCCGGTAAAACTTTAAAAAAACATATATTTATATATGTATATATCTTGCAATTAACTCCAGGTAAAATCTGCGAGAACAAGCGCGAGATCGATGAGCTGACTTCCCGGATCAAGTCGGCCAAGACCACCCTGGTGGAGTGGACGGAAGCCATGGAGGACGGGAATAAGGGCTACCAGCTGATCGAAAAGTACTATCTGGATGACCAGCAGAAGGCCCGCGAGTTGAACACCAAGCGGCAGCTGTTGCAGGCGGACATCGACAAGCGGCGCAAGCAGGTGGTCCTCCTCTACGACGAACAGATGACGCTGGAGAAGAATCTGGAGCGGACCGCCTGTCTGTATAGGGCTGCTCACACGGAGCGCCGCCAGATGGTGGACACGTGGAAGAGCGCCGTGAACCAGATGACCCAGCGGGAGCACGACATCCAGCGCAGCGAGGTGGAGTGCGCTGATCTTGCCCAGACGTCGCTGGAAACGGCCCTGATCTACAAGAATCACGATAACCAGCTGACCGAGGTGATCGACAACAACCGCCAGGTGGAAATCGGCATCGAGGCTCTGAACGAGGAGACATCCGACATGAAGAACCAGATACAGATCATGATCGACGCCTCGCTGCTGAAGGAGCGCGAGATCGATGGCCTGCGCCGGGAACTGGAGAACCTCTCGAATCGGGTGCAGCTGCAGCGCATGGACAACCGCAGTCTGATGAAGAGACGCGACGACAAGGCGAAGGAGATAGAGAACTTCGCCTCGGTGATGGAGAAGGTCAATGCCCGGCTGAAGAATATACAGAACAAGGCTCTCAACGCGGACCAGCGCCTCCACATTCTGGAGGAGATGATGGAGGCCGAGGAGAGTGCGCTGAGGAACCTGGACAAGGAGCAGGAGAAGGTCAATGATATGCTGTACCGCACCCAGAGGCAGGTAAAGGAGCTGCAGGACGAGGAGAAGGTCCTGACTGTCCAGAACGACTCCCTGAACTCCAATCTGGCGGCCATCAAGCGCAGCCAGCAGCAGGTGAACAACGAGCTGAAGCGCCAGACGGAGATCCACTACAGCCTGTCCTTCAAGTACCTGGAGGCGGAGCGGCGCTATGGCGAGGCCAAGGGCCTGGTGGATGACCCCGAGGTGGAGGCCATCAACATGGCCCGGCTGAACGTACTGGAGCAGGAGTACGAGAAGCTGCACCGCCTCATAGCCACCACGGAGGCGCAGAACAAGAAGCTCAACTACAACATGAACAACCTGGTGGTGCAATATAACGCCGACGAAAAGGAACTCAATATGGTCAGGTTCAAGATCAAGGAGGCACAGGTCTACTGCGAGGGCACTGTCAAGAGACTGCGCCAGAACCGCCACGAGAACTCCGAGCTCATAGTGGATCTCAACATGGTCAAGATGCGCTGCAGCGACCTGGAGGTGGGAATCGGTGGCTGCGAGCAGGGCACCTATGACCTGGATCAGCATCGCCTCGCCTTCCGGCGGGCCATCAAGGATCGCAACGTCGAGCTGCACAGCCAGGAGGATGTGCTCCTCTTGAAAAAGAAGCACCTAAACGAGGAGCTCAGCACGTTGCGTGCCGATCTAGGCGAGCGGAAGAAGCAGATAGAGGCGATGAAGGCCCGGTTCGAGCTGACCTCCCAACTGCTGGGCAAGAACGAAGATGGTTCCATCATGACCAGCACTCAGCTGAAGGTGGAAAGCGCCCAGGAGCGCCAGATGTTGGCCGACGAGGGCGACGCCCTCAACAAGAAAGTGCTGAAGGCGGAGAAGGAACTGGTTGCTCTGGAGAACACGCTGCGCCAGTTCGACAAGTCCAATGACAACTACCGCAAGACTTTTCGTCCTGTGGACGATAACTCGAAGGGTGAGTGTGGATGGGAACTTTTATCCATTTTCTTGCCGGTTTTATTTGGGACAAAGGAAATAACTTTTTAAATTTTTCTCAAATTTGTATTTCTAATTTTTGAGTAGTTCTCGTTGTCACATTTCAGGATTTTTTTAATTGGTGGGGTGGGTCCCAGCAAACCTAAAATAAACATAAAGCACACTTTGCGGCCGATCTAAACTAACTTTATGAACTGAATGCATTTTCGAGCTTTAAATGTTTTCTTAAAACCACGTTGAAGATCTGTGCTCCCTGGCATTTAAAAATTAATTTACCAATTGGTCGAAATTGGAACAGAGTTTTCACAAAATAAAATCTCGCCAAGTGGTTTTTTTTTATTTCATAACTACAAGAACTGTTAAATTAAGAAAATATCGGCCTATTTTGGGGTTTGGTTTTATACATTTCAAAACCTAATTTTTAGTTATTTATTTATTTACAAAAAGTGGACAGTAAGTAAGTTCCTAGTGGTAACTTTTAAAATTTTCTATCAAAATAGGAAATATTTTGTACTTAAATGTTTTTTTTATTGAAGGTCCATAAGAAAAATTAAAAACTTATTCAAATATAATATAATATAATATATAATATAATTGTATGTAACTCATTTTAAAGGGATTTATATAATTTGAGATTACTTAAAAGATCTCGATTTATCTTTCTTCATTGCAGATCGTGAGCGCGCCGAGTTGGAGCTGAAGGACCTGGAGGCGGCCTACTGCCGCGATCTGGAGAATCTGAAGGTGCTGCGATGTAAGGCACAGCATTACGACCAGAAGCACGCCGCCCAAAAGGCTGAGGAGGAGGACCTGATCGCCAAGATTGAGCAGGCCAGAGCGAGGCGCGCGGAGCATGCGGCGGTGCTGGACAAGATCGAGCGCGAACTGGACGACCAGCGGCTGAAGCTGGACCGGGCGCAGCGCGAGATCCGGACGCAGATGCGGGAGATCAAGGCGCGGCCGATCAGTGAGGAGTATCTGGCCCAGTTTGAGCGGGATCTGAACCTGCAGGAGCTGGAGGCGCGCAACACCAAGGCGCTCAATATGCTCGCCGATCTGGCCAGCAGCGATGCCTCCGGCACGGAGATCATGCAGTTTATTCTGCGCAAGGGCGTCAAGATGCCGATGCACCTGAAGCGCACCCGCAGCTGTGTGTCCTGGAACAGCAGCTCCTCGGCCAAGTCCTCGAAGAGCCCTGGCTCCTACATCAGCGTCAAGGGGAAGACCTTCCTCGGCGGCGGGTCGAGTGCCAGGTCCTCGGCCTCCGACGTGAGCTCCCTTAAGGACGACACCTCCTCGACCTCCTCGCAATCAGGCCTCAGCATCATATCACTTGAGTTGCCCATGCCGAAGAAAAAATAGTTTCATTTATTTCATATTTATTTTATTATTATTTTCGCCCATTCAATGATCTCAGCCCGCATGCTTGTTGCTCTGGGCTTCACGTGCTCGACCATCGCACTGTTTACAAATCGACCGTCTAAACGAAACAGCGAATAAAATGCGTTCTTAAAGCGGGTCAAAACAAGAGAGCGACGGCGGCAATAAAAATAGCCCCCAACAAATCCGATGGGGGTATTTAAAAGTGTAAAAGTGTGTATTTTGTGGATCGGGTATTCAGAGGATCGACTCGCGAATACTTTCCCCATAGACAATGGCGCTTTCCACAAAAATACACAATTATGTATGTTTAAAATCGATTAATTCGATTAGTACAAAATCTTAAAAATTTTCTTAATGTTTTAACTCAAAAATTTTACGTCCTTTATCTATTAAATCCTTTAAAGCATATAAAAAAGCTTAAATATATTTGCACTGTCCTATCATTAATAGCAAACAAATAAAAAGAAATTCAAAATAATTCTTGTTTTCGAAAGTCTGTAAGTCGCATAAAAAAATGATAATTCAAGTTGAGAAACGCAGGTTAATCAAAATGAACAATAATAGTGAGCAAGTTACTTGCTTGACTTAAATACCATTGTCCTCAGATCACTTTCCTAATCTTAATATTTAAAAATAGAGAGATAAACTTTAAAAGAAATGGATTACCCTTTCATTTAAATGTTTTGTGTTTTTTCTTAAGGCCATAATATAACCAAAATATAGTAGAAAGCAATTCATAAAAAACAAAACTAAACCATATTTGTTCTAAAGCTTTGAAGACAATTATAGAACCTCCTAGCCATAATATATCGCAGATCTCTTTTAAGTAAGTCTGACAAATAGCATATATCACAATTGCAGATTGCCCCTCTGTGTCGTGCGTTACAAAGACGAGAACGAAGGCTATAAGGCCGTCACTGCACCAGATATCGCCCAAAAATATGTATAACATATATACTAGTGCTCAGAGCTATATTTCGAAATGAGGTACCCTGAGGTACGTATGTACACTGAGGCAGGCAGAGAAAGAGAGCCCGTTGTTGGGGAGATGAGTTTTCGGTGCTACGAGTGTTTTCGAAAGTGTTTTTCTCGATTCGACGACCAGCGCCGGGCATTTCATTAATTTTCATTATTTCGTTTAGCTGGCATCGGTGCCGAGAAGTCAGATTGCTGGGCCCAAATGATTTGAAAAATTTTCACTTGCTGATATTTTTAGAAAATTCTGAAAGCGGAAAGACTAAGCTGTGTGAGCTGTCTGGGAATGGACTCCTGAAAAGATAGATGTTCACCGACCAAACAGGAGGAATAACCAATTAAAAGGTGAAGAATTTGCATAAGATTCGATTGAGTGCGTTCGCGGAATGTGTTCCACCTCGGTGCTGTGTCCCCTGTGCGCGGTGCCCAGCTTCGGCAGCATTGACGCACTGCAGCAGCGGCTGATCAAGGCGGCCAACGGCCCACTGGCCTGTCCGTTCGCCAACTGCAAGGAGCTCTTCCTGGGGCTGGACAAGCTCACCATTCACCTGTTTTCGCACACCAGTCTTATGAGCCAGGACGCAATTCCGACCCCGGTTACTAGGCAACCTGTTCCTCCCTTGGTGGCCGTGTCTGCTCCCAAAAGAAGGACCAAGCGAGCCAAGCCCCAGCCCGTCGTGGTCGTGCAATCCCTGCCACCTGTTCCCCAAACTCCTCCCGCCAGTTGTGACATTTGCGAATTCAGCTTCCGGAACAGCGAGCTAAGGGACATGCACATCCGGTTGGTGCACGAAAACGCGGAAGGAGAGCAGCCAATAAAGCAGCCAGAACATAAGGAGCCGGTAATTAAACCAAGCTAAATATCTTATGTGCCATTGGTGTTTATTGTGCAGGCGCGGATCTAGGGGTTTAACTTAGGAAAGTCCTATAATTAAAGTTAAATTCGTAACAAATCCATCATTTAAATTCCTAATTCAAAGAATCAAAAGATTGCTTTAAATTCTTATGGCAGTGCAATGTTTTTGGCCCGATTCATTTGTTTATTGGTAATATTTTGTAATTTAAAGAATTCACAAATTCAATAAGTATGCCACAAATAATGTTTTCCTTTAAATTTAAAACAAGAAAGGAAACCAACTTCGGCAATCTGAATTTTATATGTAGCTTTAACAAAAATTAAATATTTTTTAAAACGAATATATTTTTATTCCCGGTATTGCTGTACAAGAATATATATACTTTAAATGATAGCAAATGTCTTCTTCACTGAGTTGCAAACTAAAAGGGGTATAAAAATGAAAATAATTTAATTGCGATATATGATCATACCAAAGTAAAAAGAAAAACTTTACAATAGCATTATATTATCTAATCGACATTTATTGGCAATAAATATATGCTGTTGCTAATTGAATATATAAATAATTTGTGATAGACATTTGTAGAGCCTGTCACATCAATAAAAAGTGTTGGTTTGAAACAGGAAGTAATTAAAAAGGTCAAATAATAATTTTTCTGTTATACAGGATCAGGAGCCATACAAGTGCCATCTTTGCTCCAAGACGTTTCGCATGAAGGGCTCCCTTCGTATCCACCTGAAAGTGGTGCACATGATGGGTGTTCCCTGCTCCAACCCCAGTCCCGTGACCACCACCATTGCGATCAGTCCCTCGCCCAAGCTCAGCATCTGCGATCGCATCCGGCACAAGGAGGCGGGAGCCATGGGAAGCCACTCGCACAACTCATCGCCCACCAGCTCCCAGCCCTACGCCCTGAGTGGAGCCCTCAGCATGCTCCAGCAGTCCCCCAATTCACCGGACTCGGGCGGAGCCACGCCCAAGCTGTGGGAGTGCGATGTGTGCACCAAGTCCTTCACCACCAAGTACTTCCTCAAGAAGCACAAGCGGCTGCATACCGGCGAGATGCCCTACACCTGCGAGATCTGCGCTAGGACCTTCACCTTCCAGCAGTCGTACCACAAGCATTTGCTCTACCACAGCGAGGTGAAGCCCCACGTCTGCGTGGTGTGCGGTCGGGCCTTCAAGGAGCTGTCCACGCTGCACAACCACCAGCGGATCCACAGCGGGGAGAAGCCCTTCAAGTGCGAGGTGTGCGGTGGGTATCGATCATCCTCTTCAATTGATTACACGCACTTAATATTTTATTGTCAATAGACTTTAAAAAGAAGACAATAGTAGCTAAAAATGTGCATACTCGTAAAGTAAATTCAATATTTTCCTAATGCTTAGATAAATCATAAACAACGGAGTCGATCTAAACAGTAATTTTCGCCCAACTTTATTCCTTTCCACATTTACAATGGTATAATGCTACTTCCACTCTGTCTAACTCGTCTATTCTTCCACAGGCAAGTGTTTCCGGCAGCGAGTCTCCTTCCTGGTCCACACCCGTATCCACACGGGGGTTATGCCGTACAAGTGCGAGCTCTGCCAGAAGACGTTTAGGTACAAGGTAAGCCAACGCACCCACCGATGTCCCACCGAGGACGCCCAGACGCCGGAGCAGCTGATCAAGGCCTTCCTGGAGGGGAACGACTCGCCCACTCAGCCCTCGCCGGCGAGTGCCGAAATAGCTGCCATTAACACCGGCGCGATGGCCGATCCCGAACAGGAGGCACTGCTCTCGCAGACCATCGACGACATTGTGGTGGAGCAGTGCCAGAAGCTGGGCATTTGTGGCGTGGTGCCACAGGAACAAGGCCATCTCCTAGCCCTGCAGCCTGTTGCAGTGGTGCACTTCAACGGGAACGGCTCCCCAGTGCAGCAACTCCAAAACTTGAGACTCTATTCGCCCCAACAGACAGAGCTGCCCAGTTCCGACGGCGAGGTCTTCCAGCGCTTTCTGATGGACGCGACGTAGCTGGAACAGATATATATAATATATACATATTTAATTACATCTCGTTTACCTTACGGCACTGTTACGGTATACCAAATAACACTATGGATTGACAAACTCTATGCAAATAATTAGCAATAATCAATTTTAATTTATAATTTTTCGGATTACTCCTTTTAATTCCTATTTTTAATATCATATGCTTCCATTCATCATAGTGTCATTATATTGAAATCAAAGTTATCAAATAAATAAAAAACTATAAACATTTTTATTTTTCACTTAATTTAAAATATTTCATTTGGTCTAATTTCTCTAACAAATTAGCATCTTTACCAACAACCCATTGCTCTTTATTATATTGAATTTTGTAATTCCGTAGAGTGCTCAAGATTGTATGTGCAAGTATAAATCGGAACCGACCCGACTTGGCTTAAATAAAATAACTTAAATTTTTTTATTTTATCATTCAAATCCCGATTTGTCTCATTATCTTAGCCGATTCTGAAGAACGATCTTTAAGATATGACAAAAAAAAAATGCACCTAAAAACTGAATTGTAATTTTAAATCAAGCTATTAATGAAACCGCACTTGTCTTTGTTTGATTACAACATTATTTATTATAAATCGCAATTTTTGAAATTATTCATTCATCTGAGCCGCTGCCAGAACTAGATCCGGAGCCAGTTGGCGATCCACTGCGGGATCGGGTGGGCGATCGAGATCCCGAGCCAGATCTGGATCCCGAACGGGACCGAGAACCGGACTTGGAGCGGGAACGAGAGCGCGAGCCAGACTTCGAACGGGATCGGGAACGTGTACCCGATCTTGACCTTGATCCCGACTTCTGGGATCCTGCCGGGGAATTAGAGCGTGAGCGGGAGCCACTGCCTGATCGGGAGCCAGACTTCGAGCGGCTGCTGGCTCGCGATCCGGAGCCAGAGGCCGACCCGGAACTGGAACCGCTGCGACTGCGAGTCCGGGAGCGGGACTGTCGATCGCGGGCTACTTGGGCGGGCGAATCGCCATTATCTGCTGTCTGGGCACCACCCGAAGCATCTTCTCCAGTCTTCTCCGTCTCTGCAATGACCTGGGTTTGCTCCTCGTCCTCTTCCAATTCTTCCTCGACCTCCTCCTCCTCTTCCTCGCCAGGAACCTCCAGCTGGCGCTCGCGATAGCGCTGCATGCGATGCTCCATGCCGTCCAACGGACGATGCTTGACGACCTGCAGAAAATAAATTATAAGTGAGAGATGGAAAGGCAGAAATTCAACTCGTACTTTATTTTTGGAGATTGTAACCATAGCCTTCTCTTATTGAACAAATTGTAATAAATTCTATACAAATCTGTTTGAAGTGGGTGCACCCTAAGTATTGCGACACCTTTTTCAATGAAACAGGTTCTTCTTAAAATGTTTTTAATGGACTGATATTTTTGATAAATTTAAAACTCAACATAAAAAATTGTATTTAAGTGATCTAGTTATTTCAAAGTACAATTTTTTTCTGTCATTTTTGCAAAGCGTTTCATTGCCAATTCCTTTTTTAAGTTAACAGGATTAAATCATAAGAAATTTAAACTGCGTGGTCGAAGTCGCTTGGCCAATATAAGCGTGTATTTTTTTTGTATTTTGTATTTATTTACCTCCATTATCATTATTTTATTCAACACAGAATAAAATAAATTAACTTAAAAGAAAGTATCATGCTGATGTACATTAATGGGTTTAAAATGTAAAGACCATCGGAAAAAAATATGCTAATAAAAGCAATAAGAGATCGAAAACTTACCAGCTTGGTATTGTTTGGTTGCTGGCCGACCTTGACGCGACGCTTGTTGAGGCGCACACGCGTCTCCAGCTCATTGTAGTAGATGCCGTCCGGTCGCATCACGAAGAAGTAGTTCTCTTCGTAGCCCTTGGAGGCCTTGGTCTTCACGTTCCAGTTGTACTCGCGAGCGATCTTGTACTCGTACTCCTCCTCCTCCTTGTAAAGCTCACCCGCGACGAAGTCGGTACGACGCTTCTCCAGCGTCTGCTCCGTAGGCAGGAAGTAGGCGACAAACTGCTCGCCGCTCTCGTCCATCACACCGCGGATCATGGCCTGCGACATTTCCTCCAACTGGGCGGGCACGTTCTTGCCCACGGGGGCCGGATCGCTGTCGAAGATGACCTGGGCGCAGGGGTACTTCCAGTTGGTAAAGTCGGGGAAGATGGGCAGCACCTCCACGGGCACCACATTGGGCTTGGAGTAGTGCTTGGTGATCTCGCTCTTGGTGTCGCTGAATGTTTTCTCGATGGCCTTGATCTGGGCATCGCGGTCCAGGTAAAGCGTCTCCTCCCTGAGCGATTTTTTGACGTTGTAGCCCACCTTGGCCTCGATGTTCTCCAGGTTCTGCGGCTGGAAGCGCGTCTGCTCCGTGGAGATGTACTCGGATTTGCGCAACCAGGACACTGTCCTCGAGTGCTGGCGAGAACGCACAGAATCTGTGGGCGTCAGGGTCTCCTCCTCCAGTAGTTTTTCATCGGCGGGGTCGAGCAGCGTCATGGAGTCTGCCTGATAGAGCTCCCGGTTGATCAGATCCACCGTCACCCCCAAATCGTGCTCCGTCAGCACGTCGTACTTGAAGTTCCGCTCCAGCGACGTGGGATTGTACTGCACGAAGCGGTGGCTGTCGAAGGGATACTGCAGGAACTTGAGGTCAAAGGGTATGTCTGGCAGGTTGTTCCCATATTTAACGCGGCAAATGATCTCCGACCTGCAAAGGATAAGTGAGACTGGCGTCTGTTTTTCTTATTTTCCACTTACTTGCGCTCCGTTTGCCGCTGGGGTCGCTTTTCGGCGGCGCTGTTGACCGCCGAATTGTTGATCGTCGGCGCCATTGCTGTTTCTAAGTAGTATTATCCTTATATTACTTTGTTGTTATCGTGTTGATTCCATTAAGTGGTAAAATCTAACAATCTTCACATTTGTGCCTGCCAGTGTGACCGCGCTTGACCGGTAAAGTAATACCGCGCCAATACCAGAAAATACCAAACGCATGTTTTTCAAAAACAACTAAAATACTATGGGTATATGACACGACATTTGGGTCTAGAATCTATAACCGCCACTTCAGTTTTGCAAAAGTGGTAGGCTATGTTTGTTTGCAAAAAATATTTACGAGAAAATGTAAATAATTCAAATGTATAATCGGCCTGGGAATGAATTAACGATTTTAAAATGAAATCTATTTATGGAAATAAAAATATATCTTGACAAAGCAGCCTTATGAGCTAAAAAAAGCGGATACATGTCGAACGTTATTTTAAGCACTACGTTTTTCGTTGTAAAATTTTAAATATTATTAAAAAATCGTACAAATAAAATATTATTTAAGCTATCTGCAACAAACAACGAATTCGCGTGGGCTTTTCTATTCTAATCTTATTTAATATTCGATCTTCTCTATGGCCGCTACCTTATATAATTGTCCAAGTTTTTTATCAGAAGTAAAATATTTATACGAATTTGCGACAACGTTAAAAATAACACAGCTATACGATTTTACAATTTATTTTCGAAATAATTCTATGGCAGCTATATAAAATATATACTTGTGATGCAGGCACAACATACATTTTTTTTAAGATCGTTCGAAATCTTACTCAGTAAAATCTATTATTGGAGTGGGTGTGCTAACGATACTTCTGCTGTGACGAAAGCCGTTTAATTTAATTCGCAATGGTGGTATCAGTTCGATTTTCTTGTTAAACAAGACTTATATAAAATAAATAAAATATTAAATTAGTTTCTGAAAGATTACCGAAGATGTACAACATTTTGGAATACATTCAGCAGCTGGCTACTTATTATTTGTTAGCTTGCAGTCCAAAAAGAAAGAAATTGTGAATGGCTTGATATAATTTCAACGGACTGGAACTGGGAAATAGAAGATTTACTAAAGAAAAATTTATGTAAAATGGTCGCAAAATAAAATGTAGAGATAAGAAATGAATATACTGAGCATGGTAAAAAGTTTTGGAATTCTTAAATGAAAATGGAAGGGCCATTAATATTAATATTATTAAAAATACTGGGTAATTTATTTAACTATTACAAGATTAAAAATTGATCTAAGCTCAATAATTCAAAAACATTATTAAAACATGTGGGGTGATTTAGAAACAATTGCTACCTTTTCAAATGATAAATGCGTTTTTCATAAATTTATTATCTTTAACGTAAAAAAATATTATTATTATTTTAAAACGCTACTCCAGGGACCTTAAAACTTAACAAGTTTTAAATTAAGATTTTAATGTTGTTACCAAAGCATTTTTAGAGGGTATTGGGGGTTCGGCGCGCACAACAAAATAAATCTGTTCTGTCCTACTAAGAAAAATTATATATTTTTCTAGACCTCTTATTTCTCAAAAACTTACCGCACATATTTGCACAAGGATACAAAATGTCGGGATGAACGAAAAATCTGCATTAAAAACATAGCATGGTAATTATAATTATTAACGGGTGATTAATTCAGAAAACCTTAATTTTAGAAAATATTCAATAGTTTTCGGAATAATGACATAAACATGTACAATCAGTACATGGTAGTCTCATCGTTTAGGTAATTTTTATGACATCAAAAGACATCCAGTTTACACTGCATAGTGAAAAGAGCGCATGCACTACTTTAAATATTACATTTTTGGCAGCGTATCTATGAATTTAACGCTGCATTAAAAAAAAGCCATGTAAATTGTTATTTTTCGCTATTTAGTTTAAGTTATGCATTATTAAAATATCGGTACTTAACTTAACATGTCTAGATCCTTACTGATGGTTTTAATTTTATTGGCGCTTAGGGCGTCCGAGATAGTTTCGGAATCAGAAGAATCAACAACCGAACAACCTGCAGGACTTTATGTAATTCAAAACTCAAATGAAGATGAGGACGATCCATTATACATGCAACTACTGGACATTCCACTTCCTGGGGAATCAGTTAAAAAGATCGACCGCCATCAGAAGGAGGAAAGACTACGGGGACGGCAGAGGACTTTTATAAGGAATCCCAACTATCACAGCGCTAACAAATACTACGATAAGATGTTTCAAAAAGACCATATAAAAGAAAAGTATAAGGAACATCCATTGCTGCCGCATCCATGGTTCGAAGTGGAATCCAGCCCTCTCCAATCTGGCCAGTAGAATCTCAGAAACTTTCCTGTTGACGCTTTACATTATAGCCCATATAACGGAGACCATAATGACTGTGAAATAGTCAATGTAAACACCGCCGCCCCGACAAATTCCCAACGCAAATAAACACAAACCACAATAAATTAAATTAGCGGCAAATATTATTCCTTTGTGGAAAAAATATGATTGTCACCTGTTTTGTTGAGGCGTTTGTTTAATGGGTATCAATTAGTTGGCAGCTGCGAAAAATACCCCCTCAGCGCAAATCCGAGCAGGGAGTTCAATAACAAGGTTATAGCCAGCACACAGAAGGCGAATAGAAAAATGTGTGCGATTTTCGTAAATTTATTTACATCTGATATTAACGCCCAGACGAATTGGCAAAATAATCGTCACAAGAAATTAGCATTCTCTTGTTGATTGATAGCGTAGCATAGAAAAATTAATTAAGAAATCAGTCGTATTCTTCAGATATTTGTCATCGCTGAGCATAGAGAATTCAAGATCTTATTGGGAAGTAGTATGAAACAAAATAAATGCATTTAACCAATATTGTTTTGAAGTACTAGATTGTGTTGGATTCGCATCAAAAAAATGTTGAATTTCAAAGAACACAATTATGATTTCCAATTTTATGAAAAATAGTATACTGTCATTAACAAATCATTGATAAAGTCGCCAAAATAACTTATAACAATTTATTAACAATATATACAATTTCCATAACTTTTAAAAGCAACAATGGTTTTTATAAATAACAGTCAACTGTGTAAACTATTAGGAGCATGTCTGCGAAAGTGGGAAGAAATCATAATCATAATTCAGGTTCTTAAGTTTAAGATACCTGCTTATACTGTGCTGTTACAAAAGAATATTCCCTGTACTCCGTGTAATTTTATACAATTGTGGGGGTGAATATCAATATTTCAAACTTATTGATTTACATTTTTCTTTTAGACGACTTACCTGATGATCCTGATCAACAATATATACAACTAGTCTTGATCGCAAAGCGGTTCGTTTTCAACAAACAATACACACTGAACTTTTAACGACAGAACTCCATTTATGTTAGTAAAACCAATGAAGTTTATCAACTCCCAATTTCAAAGATCCTCCGATCTCAACATACAGGACTTTCTGACGCTCTACTGTCAGCCCCGTAGATGGTTGATGAGTCTGAGGTGAATGCAGACGAAACCAGCTGGTCCTATCCCACTGAGTGCAAGTGTGATGAAAGATAGGTGAAAAAAGTTGTGTTATAGAAGAAATGAAAATATAACCAACGTGTGACCTCGAGTTTAATCAATAACTTCAATATATACATATTTGAAAATACTTTTTCAGGAATACGATAATGAAAAATCTTCCGCTTATGTGTTCAAAAAGTATGCTACAAACAGTTGACAGTTCAAAAAAAAGAAAAGTATAAAATTGTGAGGCAAATAAAGTTAAGACCGATTTTTTTTAAATATGAATGACGCCGAATAATTTGATTAACATATAAAGGCATAACAAAAAACCTAAATATCAGAAATACTTAAAACAAAAAATATTACTCATCCGCCACGTTGGTCATTCTTAAGGGACTCTCAGTTGATCTTAAAGGAAACTCTTTTTTTTAAACTATTCCAGAAAGGACTACCAAACTGGTCCTGTTTAGCATGAAAACCTTTTCAAAGGATTGGGAGCTTGGGTTTCTCATGCATACGTCATAAAACAAAAGTGACTTCGCTTTTGGCCAAAGCAAACGTGTCACGTTTTCTGCCTTTTGTTTTTGCCCACAATTATTAATTACTGTCAATTAGTGATTATTGTTTAATCAACACATCACATGATGGTGAGGAAAGCACACTGCCAAAACCGAGACCAAAACCGAACCAGTTAAACCAAAAGTTAAGAGGTGAGTTTAGGTGGAAGGAACAGCCGATCAATCAAATTAGCCAAAGTAAACAAAGCAAAAAAGTTGCAAATCAATTGACCATGCGCAGCGTGCCGATACTAAAGTTTCCATGCTCGTTACTACCCCACAAAACAGCCCGACTGAATTCGCGCTTCGTGGTATGACGATCTCGTTTCCACGATCTCAGTCGAGTGCCGAGTGTCGGGTATGGAATCTCAATCCGGATCAAGTGGCGCGCGCGACTTCAGTTTCAAAAACGGCTTACATTTCGCAACAAGCGCTAAATTGGTTGGGCAAACAGCACGGGCTTTATTCGCAGGTTCACCCAGTTCGCAGTTCGCAGCTCCCTGTGGCTCGTTCTTTTGATACATTGTTTATTAGCATACATATTTGCTTAATATATATGGCATATCATATACGCCTGCCAGTTGGTGACATGCATGAGTGTGTGTCGAAACTACTAGAGTTTTTGGCACTTTAAGTGAAGTGTGAAGAGAGCGACGGGTCCGCCATGAGTTCAGTATCCGTTTAATGTTCACAGCGAACGGTAGCCAACCCAGAACAGGATATCACGACTTCAAAATCTCCAGTGACAAACATCCTTCGAGAATAATGATTACCAGAATAGCAAATACCTTTTGACTGGAATATTATCTAAAATAGGTGAGTAAAGTCCTGTCATAAATCCAAAAGGAATTTTTCCATTAATCTTCAAGAATAATTAGCACGAATTAAATAAATATAAACGTCGCGCGTGTGCAGTAAATTTATCAAAAAGCTTTTCGTGTTAAGCTTGTGAAGGTTGAAAATTAAAAGGTTTTCAGACCTAATAAATAGTTTATTGTCCTGCTAAAGAATGACAATATCTTGTGTTAGCGAACGAAAATTTGTTTGTGATTCCCCGAAATCGTGTAGAAGAGAAATTAAAATGACTTGAGCTTGCTAAATAATTTAACGTTTTTATACCCATTTATTAGTTCTTCTAACAATATATTTAAAGCAAATCGAAGATAAACTTTAAGCCTCTAATTAAAGAAGAAGATGAGAAAAAAGAAATTTCACCTTGCAATTTTTTTGAAGTTTTAAAATTTAATACTTGATTATAAATCTAATTTGTAAGAATAAAATCACACTCTAAAACAGGAATCAAATTGTTCCCTAATTAAATAAGTTTGCCATAAATCAAAATGTCGTAAACCTTTCGAGGGCGTCTTTTAAATTCGATCTTATTTTCGCTACTGCCCTCATAAACTTCTGATTTAGTGCTATTTAAATATATATAGAGAGGTACATGTAATTACAATTGTGAAATGGCGGTGGGAAACTACAGAGTTCAGTAGAAGCATTCGATCATCGGCGACGTCGCCCGACCTGGAAATTTTTTGAATTATGCATAATGCAACTCAAAGTGAGATTCTCTCGTTTAGTGATTGCTCAAACTTGCGGCCGACCACACAAAACGTGTTTCAATTCATGGGGTCAGTGGACTACTGTTGGGAAAAATCTACTTAATGCAATGAGTAAGTCAGCACAATGGGCAACCTTTTACCAGGAAATTACCCAAATGGCTGAAAGGTGTTAGTTCCAATAAAAGGGTAATTCACAGAGGGGCTCGATATCCACTATTAATAGATTGCACGAGCAGTCCACTTCAAAATTATGCCACTTTTGTTTAATCCATTGTAATCACGGGACTTTTTCAATGTTACATATATTACTATGGACGGCAGTCCACGTAGTAACGAATGTCCCGGAGAGTGTGCGAAATAAAGTATGCACAGAACACAGACAGGCACTTTTTTCTTTTAGCTTGAAGTGATAACCCTTTTATCAAATTAAACAAATTAAAATTAATTTAATTATTCGTTACGTTGCAATTGTATTAAACTTTTTTTAGCACGAAATTATAAACCTTTTTCATAATAAAAATGTAATACTGAAAAATTTCCGATGTTCGATACATTACTTCGTTATTTGTTTGGTTAGTTTAAAATATTTTAAATATCTAACAATCTTAATAACAATAGTTTAGTATTTAAAGACATTCAGTTACAACACCCTGGAGTCACTCATTAAGGTGTTTATAAATGGCATTAACCCACAACGTCAATAGAATTATGATTTTTTCTATCCAAGCACTGAGTCAACTTGTCCCATTAAATTGCACTAGCTGTGCACTCTCTTTGAAATATATTCCAATTTAATTGGTGGCGAATTGTTTTGTGCACAGTAAATTACACTTCAGCTCGTATTTTATGGCTATAAGTATGATAATGTCTTGTAAGAAATCATACAAGTATGTGAAATGCAAATAATGAAAATGTGGTATTAATAAATGTTCTTTTCTATGCAAATAAGATCATTTTAATTAGCTGAGATGGCTTTCGTGGGAATTTTCTGTGGGCAGAGGCAGCATAGGAAATTCAAATTATGACTGCATGAGTAGTGCTACATTTATTATGGCACATTGTGTTGTCTGGCAAATGATGATTAAAAAACTGAATTTAACTTGTTTACATTCAGTCACGTGAATAAATAAATTACACTTTTACTTGGGTAATACATATTTACCCTCATATCAGATCAGTTTACATCTTGATAACCTCTGGCCAATCAGACTTCTCTTTCGACCACCTGAGCCGTGCGTTAAAAGCGAAAACAAATAAAGCAACGATTAAGCAAATAATATGTCAAATAATTGAAATGAAATGAAAGCAGCGGCAAGGGATCATGGCAAACAGAAAATAATGAAACACTTAAACAAATAGACCAAAAGGCGAAGGCGAAAACAAAATGAAATGCTGGGTGACGCGGACAATGAGTCTTTTTTGGCTGCCTGTGCTTTGCTTTTTGGCAAGTGTACAATTGTACATAGATTTTGTTGGCAGCACGAGAGTGATTCTATGTGGATGTGGTAGATCAATGAGTGTAGTGAACTCACTCGCGTTCCTCCTCTCTGCGCCCTGGCAAACTTGAACTTGACTTTGCTGAGAGCCAGGAAATGTATCTCACGGGTTGGGGACAAGTGCAGTTGCCAGAGAATCGAACACGAATACTACAAGTTGGATACTACACCGACTATTAATAGATACCCTCGCAGCGTTCCTCTTCTTCCTGTTTGAGCGGAAATCGAGTCAACCCCCTATATTTCTTCGCAACGAATTCTTTCCTAGTTCCAACACGGCCCTTGCCACCTACACATACTGCAGAATTGCTAGTGCTTATCGATCTGGTCTGATCGGATTGGATCGGGCTAACCCGTCTGGTTGCGAACCGCTTGGATATCCAGAAATCCATAAATAATCAGCACTTGGGATATTTCCAATTTTCAATTGTTTGCCCGTCAAAAAATATTCGAGAATTCTGCCGATTTGATTTATTGATAGACATAGACTGTGTGTGTTCGCGGGTGTCGTGATTATATAAAATTAAATTGCACAACTAAATCGACGAGTAGCATGGGACCGAAAGCTGATTAGTTCCTTATTAATTAACAGCTGCAAATAAAATGTTAAAATGAGTTTCATCCATCCCGATGCTGGTCTAATGGGCTCTAATGGAGATGTCCCCATTTCGATGGAGGAGTCAGAATCGAAATTGGAGGAGGGTCATCGCGAGAGTCCCTTAAATGGTCGAGTAGAAATAAAAATCGTGATGCTTAAAGTTCAGGTATACAATTTGAACGTACTTACAACAATTTATTTATTTACATACCGTTACGTTAGGATCATATACAAATAAAGTTGCATTACTTATAGTGCATATTAAGTATACGCCATGTACGCTAATGCAATGATTGATATGAAAAGTAGGATACCCGCCAAAGGTAGCTCTCATTCGATTTGATTTGGCTTAAAATTGAATTCAAATGATTTAATAGCTTGTCATACTCGATCTTGAAAAAAAATGATTCATTTCGTGTTAATTTACCTAAATTGGCCCTAACAAAATAAGTTGACTTATAAACCAGAATTCCTTTGATTTTAATTTATAACATAACTTGGCCTTTAAAAAAAACAATAATTTGTTATTTAATTATTATGTTCATATTTAAATATTAAGAAATTAAACATTTTAAATATTTAAAATAAAAATCATTTAAAATAAAGAAGAAGCATGGTGATTTGAATAAAAATGATTTTTAATTCTTAAATTTAAAAGCCAATTAAAAATGTAAAAACTAGTCAAAGTAATAAATAGGTAGTAAACTTGTAATTGAAAAACACTTTTATTTAGGGACAAAACGTTTTGGGGCTAAATCGTTACCCAATAAATCTAAATTAAATTGTAAATTTTTACATTTGTTAAGTTCTTTCTCTGGGTGTATCTTAATAGTATATGTTGTATGTACATATAATGCAAACAAACCTACATTGCTAATTTTATTTAAACTTCAGTCTGCTCCAAACTTTCAAACTCATTTAATTTTTTTCGTACTTCTTCCAAAAAATGCTTACATGGGTAAGGCGAAAACTTTTTTTATTGTCTTTGTTTGCTGTGCCACACGGCGTATGCGAAATCAACGTAACATCCCCAGTAAAAACAAGAAGAACTTTCTGGCTAATTTGTTTGTTGCGCGTGCCAATCACAGGGGTCTGTTAAATTGAAGATACACGCGTGCACTGCAGCCCCCGCCCCCTCAAAAACCCCCCCCCAGGTACTCCATTGTTGATGTAAAATTTATTAGCGCAGTCGCTCGAACAATGACAGTCGTCGAGGGGCGGTGAGGAGGGGGGTGGGACTGTCGAATTGGATTTGTAAACAAACAAACAATTCGAAAGCTCACAAGTGCATGACACTAACTATTGCCGCTATCGGTCATAATTAGAACAATAGCGGTACAATGGAGCTACTGCTACAAACAATCTTTCATGTTTTGTTTTACGAGCTGTAAACCATTTAACGGCTTGGGCTTTTGGGAACAAAAGAATACTCATTGAAACTATCAATAGAAATAACAAATTCTAGTCCTATTCAATATTAAAATCTTGAGTAAATGTATATAATTATTGTATAATTGAAAAGTAAACACTGATACATATTCTTTTGGCACCTCAATTATTTGAAACGGTGTATTTTAAAAATATATTTGAAAAGTTAATTGTTTACATATTATAAATGAAATCAGCGAAACCAGATAAAAGCCGCCTCCATATGTTTCACTTTGTGATATTAGTTTTAATGAGTAATTAATCATTCTCCACGAAAAACCACACAAATTAATCCGATCAGGTATCATCCTAGTATTGTGGCCTATTAACTTTTCCCCATATAACAAGTTTTCTATATTATGCTCCCATTACCATTTTAATTGAGACAGTGACAGGCACGCAATGGCACGTGCGTCAGCAGCTTGGATCCAACTGCGCCTTATCCTCCTATTGACAGAACCACAAAATTACCAATTAATCGAGTCAATTGGTGAAATATTTATATTTAATTTGTCAAGCGTTTATGGCCCCCCAATTGTGGCTAACTGAAATATGTGATAATATAATAGGCGCAATGCGATTCGCAAAGAGGAAGGTCCTGGCAACGACTCCTTCGGGCGATAGCTTTTAACCTTCACGCGGGCGTAATCCGCATGCGGAGTTGAGCAACAGCTGTTCGTCAGCAATTATTTTGTAGCTCCCAAAGCTTTGGCTTTGGCTGTAGTTCAGCCCGGATTCAGTTGGTCCTTTGGTGAAAGGACAACGAAAGTGAAATTGCCCCACACGTGACTGGCCCCATTGAAGTATTGCTCGGGAATGAGCTCCGACTGGAGTTCCTTTGACATCGGTGAAAGCTTCTGCTTTCGTTTTCACTTTCACTTCGTGGCATGGCAAAACGAAGTTCAGCTGGAGGAGCTTTTCATCGCTTTCCATCGCTTTTCCCTGCTTTCCGCCGCCTTTCGGCAAATCAGTTGCGCGCTGGGCGAACGCCAGCACCACACGAGTCATTTTATATCGCGGACGTAGCTGTGTTTTCAGTATTCGAACAAATATTATTCGCCTATTTTAATTTCTCGTGGGGTTCAAATTTTGGATTTTAATTTTTTATGTATTTTTAATTATCTTACTCAACAAAACGTAACTATTTGAATACTTTAATTGTGATTTAAATTGGGACATATAGTAAACTTTTTTAAAACAATTAATGTTGGTTGGATGAACAAAAGTTCTAAATAAATGTTTTTTTTTGCAATGCATATCTATGAAATCAAAATATTTAATTTATTTGCTTTCCTGTTAATATGTATTATTTTATTCATCAACCATACCCTTAACCACAAGCAGTTGTTTGTGTCTTCTATAAACTAATTGGCTACCAAACTAGACTTTCTTGAACTAAGGCCAAAAAATCCAATTAAAAGAATACAAATTTAAAGTGCTCCCTGGCTGATATATAGTGAGTGAAAAGTAAAACAATTTGGAGACAAATGATCTGACAGTTGCCAATATCTAGCGAGCAAATTGTCGCAGTTTTACCGGTTTCGGACGCATTATGCTCAAGGACATTGGCAGCAGCAGTGCAAACGGTAATGGCAATGGCAACAGTGGCCATAATGTTGGCAGTGGTCATGGCTTAGTCAGTGGACTCCATTCGAGTGACTCCTCCAGCGGAATTGGCAGTGCCAGCAGTGAAAAGTTGGGAACACGCAGCGATGAGGCCAACGCCAAAAAAGGGAGCAATGGCGAAGGCGATGCCGATGAGGATGAGGACGAGGATGACGATGACGACGACGATGAGGATGAAACTACGGTATACACTCTTACATAGTCGAGTGGGTTTTGTTGGGCGAATTAGCAGCATATGCATGCGTAATTTTATGCTTGGAGATAATTATTAACCCTCGCCACAATCTGAAATCCAAGAGCAAATTATGCGTGTGACAGCGATAAGCTGGGCATAATTTGAAAGGGCTTGTGTTAGGGTAGGTCAATTTGTGGGACATGGAAAAACGCACGTTTATTTAGGGTTGAATAAATGGATAGGTAATGATGCTGAGAACAAAACTATTGAATTTGAAAAGTTTGTAATTTAAAGAATTGTACAAGTTTGAACGATTTTTCAATGTCTCGCTGAGGTTCTAGTTTCTTATCTGTCAGAAAATCGTTCAGAAACACAAAGGAAAAATGATAAATGCTTAAAGGGTATATTATAATTAAGGATTGTGGACTAATAATTCTAGGAATTTGGTTGAAGATATTTTACTAAATGTAAAATCTTAACTTTACAATGAGAAATCTATAAAATCATTTAAAAACTATCGGCTTAAATAAGTATGTTTACTTAAAGTAATGTAATCTTAGTTACTTTAAATTCCAGAATGGCTTTATACAGTCCTAGAGTATTCCCTTTTTAGTAGTGTTGTGGCCATACTTTATTCATACAATTTGTGATCAAAATGTTCGACACACCCTAGTCCGTAAATTCAATTAAATATGACGGAGGGCGGAACTTTCTCTCGTGAGTATGACGAACCCAAACTTTTGAATGGGACTTAAAACCCACGTAAAATCCAGACAGCTTCCCCCTGATCTCTGACTTTCTGTCTTATTTGTCTGCTTGGCCTCAAATAATTCCCCAAATCCATTCATTTATTTAAACAATCATTCACAGATGCGAATGAGCACCCCAAAGGGAATTTTCGTTGGCGCTTTATTTGGGGTGCGAAAGAGCAAATCAGAGAATGGGATTAAAAAGAAGAAATGTTGCTAAAGGCACAAACTAAATGAGGCAAATGAACATTTTGCAGAGTGTTTCTTTTTTGGCGGTTCTTTTTGGTTCTGTTTTTGGCGAAACAGATATCTGTGGACTGCCATCTACAGATACACATTTCACATTTATGAGACCCACTTCCCTCGGCGAATTTGCTAGCAGGATTTTAATTAAAGTCAGCCATCGGTGACGTCAGACCAGGCTACCTTAATTAAGTCAAGTTTTGAAACTAAACACGTTTTCGCTCAGTTCTTTTCCGCTGCGTTCAGGTTAATTGTGGGCCTCCAGGTGGCATCGCTGGGGTTGCTCCACTCATTAGTGAGTCTGCCACACGTGCTTTGGAAGTCGTGCGTATTGACTTGGGAAAATAAGAAGCTGAACACGGACTCTGTTTAGCATGCGAGTGCGATAAACGTCAAAGTCGGCACCGTGTAGGCCATATTCTCCCCAGATTATGTAAATTTTTCCTTTTTATTTTATTTTATCAGAGCCGTATGCAAATTAGTCAATACAGGACACGGACTCGGCTTGTGTAAAAATAACGAGTACGAAAATATTTTCAGTACATAACGTTGATATTTTTTTTTTTGCACTTGCAGTACATGTTTCTAAATCTTAGATTTTTTTTATTTAGAGACATATTCAATCCTTACTTTGAATATTAATTATACCCGTTACTCGTAGAGTAAAAGGGTATATTGTATTCGTGCAAAAGTATGTAACAGCTAGAAGGAAGCGTTTCCGACCCTATAAAGTATATATATTCTTGATCAGGGTCACTAGCCGAGTCGATATAGCCATGTCCGTCTGTCCGTCTGTCCGTCTGTCTGTCCGTCTGTCTGTCTGTCCGTATGAACGCTGAGATCTCGGAAACTATAAAAGCTAGAAGATTGGCATTTTGCATGCAGATTCTAGGAGTTCCTACGCAGCGCAAGTTTGTTTCAAAAAGGTGCCACGCCCCCTTTAACGCCCACAATCGCTTATATACGATTTTAAAAATTTAAATATTTCGGAAAAGTAAAAATGCAGTTTTATTGTGTTTATCAATACCTATCGAAATTTTTCAAATCGGACCATTCGTTAAAAAGTTATGCGTGATCAAAGTTTCTATCTCCATCTCCCTCGCACTCCCTTTACCTGAGTAACGGGTATCTGATAGTCGGGGCACCCGACTATAGCGTTCTCTCTTGTTTTTATGTGAGGAGATGTAATTAGTATTGCATTAAAGCAGTCTGTCAATATTAATATTAATAACTATAACAATAAATTAATATGGAGCATTATTTTGTTACTCCATTCCTATGTATGTATGAAGGTAAAATTAATAGTTTTAGACCCTGTAAAAAATATATTTTATCATTTATTTTTGAAAAGCATACAAATTTGGTCCATCCATGTCCATCTGCCCATTTGAAAGGTCAACGGACTACTGTGAAGCTGTTGTCTTTATAAGATTTCTATAATGTTGCTTTGTATATCTTTCCCTGCGTTCCTATAATCGTTTGAATCTGAAAAATAACGAAAATCGCCAAGAACCTTTCCAATCAACCCGACTTCAATTTGGCCCAGGTAATTTCCTCCAGACAGACACGCAAGTTTCCCTCTCCAGAACAAGTAAACAGTGAACATTTCCAATTCACTTTGTTTAGACTTGGAGAATAAAGGCGCATGTCTAAATTGAACACATTTCCCAGCCCAGCCATCGGCCAAAGTCTGATTCAACTAGCCCTAATCGTTAATCCAACTGAACAATCGCTCGAAATCCCGCATGTAAACAAAGTAATTTGCATGGAGCTGACAGAGGGTGAATTTGCATTTAAGAAACCGAAGTGGTCCAGACCTGAATCACATCACCATGGGGGTCTCTTTCTGCTAATAGACTTTCCTTATGTCAATTAGAAATATTTTTCTTTGCCTACGCCAAATATATATGTTCAGAGTTTCGGCTTGGAAAGCTTTGCGTCGGTTATTAAGTTATTTCTTTTTTCCACAAAAAAAGGTTTATAAGTTTGTCAGTGCCCCGAAAAAATGTTACCCAAATAAACGTAAATACAAGTATGTTGTAAAGGACAATCAGTATGCCAGTGTGGTCGTAAAGTTACGGCCCACAAATCTGAGCTAACAAGGAACAGTGGACATGAATAAAAAAAATGTTGCACGCTTTAATAGAAGGTTTTCCAGCCAAACTTTACTGGTGAAAAAAAAGTTTTTAAGAGATTTTATCAACTTCCTGCTAAGTAATAGTGCACTATAATTCCATTGAATTTATTATTAAAGGGAAATACCCTAACGCTCACAATTTTAAAGGGATTTATCATCTTCCCAACCCACTGTAAGCTAACACTTAACTGGTCAGTTTTTCACAGCCAAAAAAACATTTTTACCCTAACCTTTGAAGGGATTTTTTTGAGGATGGGAATCAAAAACTCTTTTCCTATTTGGGTACTAACTTCGGGGTCCAGTTTAAAACACCGGCTTTCCCCTAATCAACAAGGTTAAAAAGATCCTATAAACTTTAAGAAAAAAAGATAGCTGGCTGCCCTTTTTAATTACCAAAAAATGATAATTATTTATTAAAATGATAAACAGATAGGCTTTTACTGTAAACGTTCAACTCTTAGCTGATTTTAATTGGGTTTTTGGCTGAACTCGAGTCGGGAGTCGGGAGTCGAGAGTCGAGGACCTGTGAGGTTCGCCTCATTTGCATAAGTAAAGTGCCTCGAACTTCGTGTCCAAGTACGGCGAACTCAGAACCCAATAAATAGCGCAAGGGGTGAGTTGGGGAAGGTAAGTTCTTGGGCCAAGGGCATTGAACGCCTTAATGCCAGGGGCAGCTGGCTGAGAAGTGTCATAAAACTCGCCAACAAGGTAAACAAGAGCTACTCATAAACTTTTCAAGAGCCTAGAATGCGATTATCGCTTTTCAATTTCATCTGAGAACTTTTACTCTGATTTGTAAACTCTGTTTGCTTTTGTCCATTAATTTTGTTATACGAATTTCCCGCTAATCAGCAAAATGGTTGACATTTGAGTGACCCAGCAAATTAAAACAATTTCTCAGCTAGTAAGCAAAAAAGGCAATAAGAATATATTCCCCCCTTAAAAATGAAACAATCAGCAAAACCAAAGGGCTCTTAAAGTACTTTACTCCTGACCTTTTCTCAAGTTCAGTTTGTAGACCTCTTTAAGTTCAGAATCCTTTACTTTTCTGGTGGACCTATTTATATTTTTGGCAAGCGAACAGAACAAATAATAATGGAGCAATACTCAAAGCAATTACAGCAAAAGCGGGGAAAACACAGCAACGGAAACCAGTTGAGCACCACAAACAAAAGACAAGACAGTTGTTTAAACAAAACTGAGGAAATAGCCCCGGAGTGGGTTTGATTGGGTGGGTTGCCTTGATGAGTGGGGCGGTGGGAGGGTTGCGAGTCTTAAATGTATGGCAATTAAGCTTGTCATGGTTCCGAAACGGAAGTACAAGTGCAGTGCGGCAATGACCGAGTGTGAAAAGGGACTTAAAATTCAATTGAATGAATGGCGATTACCCGGAAAGTGCCTCATATGATAAGTCTTCGTGTATGCTACCATCGTTGTTTTCACATCCCATTTAAGCGAAATGAAGTCTCATAAACAGTTTATGTAGCATACATTTCTGCTGCGTTGAACAATTGCTGGGCTTATTTGAACAATAGTATGGAAATATTTTTTTTTTTTTTTTTTTTTTTTTTTTTTTTTATTAATATTTATTTATTATTTGATTAGCGCACTGCTACTCAATTGGCAACTTAATCTAATCAGTCTTTAATATAATCGGTTTCATTGGGTCTTCTTTGTTGCTTAAGACTAATAATTTAACCTAGACATTTTAGGGAGAAATATTGCTGTTGTTGTTATTGATGATGTTTAGGTCAAAACCCGGTCAGGTAGGTCTTGAGGTTGGTGTCGCTTTAGTCTTCTTTTGACTCTTGTTCGAGGGTCAGCGTTATTAATGGCAGCAGTTCCAAGTTTCCTGGCTAGGCTGTTGGGGTGCTCATTTA